ACCACATAAGTAGAACATTTGAACACCGCTGAACATCTATAGTAGCCCAAACCGCTATAGCTGATAATTAAGGTAATTAATTTCTTTTAAATGTTCTTTCTGGTAATAAAAGAAATGGCGTAAAAATTATTCTAGAGTGATTTTTTGGTGAATATAAAATAGTATTTTTAGTGTTGTGATCTCTAAATCCAAGTTTAAGTGTTTGAACTGTTTGATTAAATGTGGAAGATCAAATTTTCTGTTAAATAAAAAAAATTGAATTAAAAACTGCGCAAAAGTTCTTGCAAAAAATTGACCGAAAAAATTGTGAAATTGTAGAAAGGCATTAATTCGTTTTTGCAGCTTTCTGATGAGTTAAATTTGCTGGAAAAAATTAGTTGTCGTGATGTCATAATGCGGCACGCGAATTATCAGGCAGCCAACATAAACAAAACTTTTTTTCATTTTTCCTCTTTTTTCAAATGCAAAATATAAAAAGTTTAAAAAGTTTAACTAAAGTAATATTTTATATAATCAGAACAAATACGTATAAATGTTTTAGTCCGCATGTTTGTGTATGTGTTTGTATGTATTGCGTGTGTGTGTATGTGTGTGTGTGTATATGTGTGTGTGTCTGTGCGTGGGTTGGTATGCGTGCATGTGTTTACGGATGTGTACTTTGGAGTGAATATATGTGATACTCTGTTAAGCTTATTTGAACGAAAGTTTGAATAAAAAGTTTGAAATAAATTTACTATATAGTAATGTAACTCAGTTTCTCATGCTCTAATATCGTGATTTGATTTCATTATCATATTTGTATTGTATTCTGATTTCGACCACGTTTCTTGCATTAAGATTTTGAATTTTAGATTATATTAAAAAACATTTTCCCATCATAAAACTTTCCTAATGTTTCCAAAAATAATTTGATTTTATTTTCTAAAATTGTCGTTCCGCGAACAACTTTTTATCAGAAAGGTCACCTTGTTATTTCTTGTCTAAATGCTTCAAGTGTTTTGAGTAATTCTCTTATTGGGTTCGTCAGTTGCTGTGCTGCGTCCAGAGATGCATTTATTTAAGTGACGCCATCTCAAATTTTTTCAACAATCTATTCAAAATTTGTCTTTACATTTTTTTGTTTGTTGTGTGTGTGTGTGTATGTGTGTGTAATGTGTGTGTTTGTGTGTGTGTCTGTGCGTGGTTTGTGTGTGTGTTTGAAATATTTATAAAAGTTTTTAAAACGTATGTTAACAAATCGTAAAAAGCATCAGCGCAGATTTCACTCAAAATAATACATACAGGCAGACCCGATCCACCATATCATTCACCAACCAGCCGACTTGAGTATCAATCGTTCCAATGCATAATTCATTATTTTCTATAGAAAAAAAAAGAGTTGAAACAAACCTAGAGTTGAAAAAATAAAGACAGGGTCACTGGCTGCTTCTTTACGATTGGCTCTGAGCCGACCTCCACTATTTACGATGGTTTCATATTAACCCAGTAACTTAGAAGGCCAGTAGTTGGACCAGCGGTCCGACTTTATTTACTTCTATGAAATATTTCCCCATTAATTTTTATCCATCATGTGTAAGGGTGACGTATATTACAAAGCAATATTTAATTATTTTTACAGGACAATCTATTTCCAAAACAGCTTATTAAAAACACATTACAAGAATTTTAAGTAAAAATTTTCAAATACTTCATTTTAATGTATTGTTACATCTTAGAATACCATTTATTATTTAAAAATTCTTTAATACTTTAAGCTGCAATTTAATCAAAAGATGACAATGACGCAAGCAATCATAAGTATTACTTAATGGATGGATCCAAATTCGATTATATACACATGCAATCAATCAAAGAAACATTTGTATCTGCACTACTTTCCCATGAATTCAATACAATGGAGTGAACTGTAATTAAAACGCAGTGGTAGCGTTGCGTCGTAAGCTGCGTCTGTCTGCGCGTGTGTTTGTGTGTCTGTCTGGGTCTGCTTGCCTGTCTGTTTGTCTCTGTCTGTCTACGAATCAAACTTATTGCTTTCGTTCGGGCGTTTCTAAAATATTCTCATATAAAAATTAATCGTTTTACGTGCAATAAGTTTATGTTCGCTGTAATCAATCTTCAACTTAAATTTATTGGTTGAAATTATTGAAATAACTACATATTCTAACGTGGAAACCAAATTTGATAGAATTAACGATTATTTATTTTAAATCACTAGCTCAATTCCTAACTGCGAAATTTAGTTTTTTCACAGAATATCTTTAGAGTGCTCATAACATTCGACTTATTCGCCATGTCAAAGAACAGTCCAAATTTGAACCTTTAAATAAAAGTCATTTCAAAAGTTGGCATACCACAACAATGAAATCGCATAACTGGTTAAATAAATTTTTAAAGTGTTTGAAGAAATTGAGACCAAAGAATGCAAAGAGAAGTTAGTTTTTATTTTTCAGCACACGACCTTCCATCAAGCTTCTCATATAACATCCTGCGGAGAACTCGCGAACGCGTGAATTTATAGTGGCCACAATGTGGTTGCTATGTTGTCTAGAAAATTTTATGTAAAAAAGTTTCTGTGAAGATTATGCCAACTGAGTTACTAATAAATCGAAATCAATAAAAAAAACTTGAGCAGCATAAACACATTTGTGGATAGATTTTATTTTATTCTCATAATAAGCATTGCCTTATTTGACGGGTTTACATTAGATTACACCGGTCAATTTTTAACAAACGTGAAATGCTTAACAACGATTGAGTTAACTTTTAATTTTTGATCGTTGGAGTTATAATGCTTTTTAATATAACTTAATATATTTGTAAATTTGCAAACATTACTGAAAAAAATCTAGATCAATTTAACGGCCAAGTTTGTTTCCTCATGTACTCACACCTCTGTCAATTCTGTCACACGATTCAAACGCAAATAAATAAATAATTCTTGCAAGCCTACAAAAAAACTCAAACTCACTGGATATGCAATACTTTTTGTTCATGGTGGACTTGATAACGAGGTGTTTGAATGTTTCAATCATTTTAAAGACACACACATTTGTTCATTCTTCTCACATCAGCACCCAGCTGCCCTGCCACACACACACACACACACACACACACACACACACACACACACACACACACACTGACCACCAACTGACCTTCGTTGATATCTATCTTTTTTACACTTTCCACGTCTGAACTCTCAATGATTTATTTGCTACAAACGTCGAACTGGTATTTATAGCGTGTGATTCACCGCAATTTTAATGTAACACCTTGCGAGTCTAACTCATTTATCAAAGCGCATTTTATCATCACGAGTTTTTTCACCAAAAGTCAAAAGTTTAGTTTGTAAAAACGTTTACGTTTTGTATTTTGTCAAAGATTAATTTCCCATTGGCATGCTTCATAACCAAACATTTTATTGGCGCATCATCCTTCAATAATATGATTGCACATTTTAAAAATTTTTTATTAGATTCATACAATTTTGTTCTTGCGATACATTACAATTACCAGAATTTTTTCGGTTTAAAATTTTTCAAAGAGAACAATTATTTTTTATAGGATTTTTTCCATTTAATTTATATTTTGTTTACGATGACATATTGTTTTAATCAGCTGTTTAATGAAGCCCATGGTCGCGAAGCAGTTGATTCCCACAAAAAAATCATTCGAGCAATGAATGTCCGTCCATAGTAAGAGCAAAGATGCATGCACAACAGCCATCTATACTCAACATTTATTCGTCTGATAAATTTTTCAGTAATAAAAACAGCGCCTTATTCGGTGGCTTATTTGAAGTACATTTGAATAATTTCAATGCTCAAGCGTGTTGCGTCCTTTAGGTATCTAATTACTTTATACACATTACGTCGGTATGTGCCCAACGACTTGACTTGCAAAAAATTTGACTTTGGTATTTATTTTTCGGTATGCAAAAAATAAAGCAAGAAAAAAAGAAAGAAAACTGTGCAGGCAAGTATGTAAGAAATAAATTAATCAGACAGCTGCGTTGTGGAAGTTTTTTTGGACACAAGTTTCCATATTTTTTTTAAATTCCAAAAATATTTTTGAATGGTAAGGAACTCGAAAATTCCGTCATTATTCTTACAAACGAGTTCGTTAGGCAAAGATGACGCAATTAAATTTTTGAAAAATGGTACAATTTGACTGAAAATATGACAAAACTTTAGTTCGCAAAAAGTTAATGCAAGTTTTTACGTAAAGACATTTGTTTGCACCGCCGGTAGGTACTTTTTACGGAAAAATAGCAAACATCAATTCAGCGTTATTGAGCCGCTAGCTGCAAGTAATGTTACCCCACGAACTCTGAGAAAATGTATTTATTCATTAGGTATAAATAACATATCGAAATGCAGGAGGAGGATGCATGGTTGTTGAACAGTCAGACGATGTTGATCACTTAATCCTCCATTATTCAAATGTAGCCATACACAAATGCCTGTAGTAACATTAATGCTATTTCAACAAGCAGACACGTCTGAGACATACTTGTTCGTTTTCCTCTTATATGCCTAACTGGTGCGACACACATTAGGGAAAGAATGTGTGTGATTAAACTCAATAGAAAGCAGAATACACAAACTTTTAAAAATTATTTAGTTTCTACGAACTTGACAACATTCTGATCAATTTATCTGACACGTTTTCACGCCTAGTGAGGCAATAAACAATTGAATTAAAATTGACCGTTCATTTTACGACACTTGAACGTTTCAAGGCGCTATTTAAATTGTGCGATTTGATTATGGACCCTGTTTATTATTTTTACTATTATTTTTTATAAAAGTAACAACAGAAAACCAAAGGCACAAGTACATTCTCAACGATAAATTGCATCTCTTTCTAAGAATCTGTCAAACTCCATAGACCATGAAGCACATGTGATTCATTGTTTGGCGCGGAAGTGAATGATTCCAATGAACTCAGAAACCACTGGAACAGATTGATGTCTTCAAGTAAAACCCTCCATAAACAAAAATTTCATCATGTTCAAAATATTTTTCCCGAAAATTAGCAAATAAGTAAAATGTTTCAAGTTATAATATCGGGGTTATTTATCGCTAATGTCAAAAAATGGACATTTAAAAAACATTAAAACATTATAAAATACTGAATGCTTCTACATCTTGGTTTGTCTAGCTCATGACAACGAAGACGACGCGACACGAAAGGACTAAACTTGATCATTCAAATTTAAAAACGCGTAAAAAGTTTTTAAATAAAAAAAATTAATTTTAAATGACATTTAACAAAAGTTAATATAAAGCGGGCGAACCGTTAACTCTATCGAAAAAATCATCAAGGCCTAATAAGCAAAATAGTTTTTATTAAAAATGCTCAAAAATAAATAATTTTAAATACGAAAAACGCAAGAAACGCTAGGAAAACATGAAAGAGCTACGATGACTTTTTTGTAGACAGCATATTGGGCACGCAACCTGAAAAACGAAAAAAATTTTTTTTTCATACAGTTATTAAAAAAAAAAAAAAAATGAAAAAATAAAAATTTAGAGCTGTCTCAACTCAACAAACAACTATCACAGCCTATCAAATAAAATCAAATAATAATTCATTAAAATCTCAGATTCAACAAAGAATAAATAACTCATCAGTAAGTAATTAATTATTTAATGGAGAGCCAAACTAACGAGATCGTCGTAGAGGACGCAGTGTGTGTGGAAAGCATGTCGACACTGGAAGATGACTAACTCGTCGTTTCTATCTTCTGCAATCAAATGTTTCAAGCAGGAAAGCGTTAACAATAAGAAAGGAATATTTTCGCATATTTTGTGGTTGAGCTTAATCAGAATAAACATATACGTAGGCTGACTGATTTTTGGTAGGACGTGTGTAACTAAAAGATCGTGTGGAGATAATATGTTAAAATGTTTGTGTCTCAAGTCAGAACAACAGCAAAAAAAAACAAAAAAAAAATTGCGAAAAAAACCCAAATTGATACCTGAGTTTTGTAGAAGTTTTTTTGAACAGTTAGAACATACGATATAACCTGACGAAAAAAATAAAAAATAAAATTAACATTCACAAAATTAATAATCTGTTGATGAATACGTGACTCAGATCAATATAACTTACGGCTGGGTGTGATTTATGAAGATCGCAAATTCATCAGATATCTACCTAATAAATTTTCTTTAATTCCATTGAAACTTTTGAGACTTCACAACTAGCCAGTTATATGCATCCGTTAGTTAATAAACTTGTTCGCATATATTCAAACTACCAAACGAAGTAAAGTATTAGCGATCGGAAATTCTAAAAAATCCTAACTTTTCAGTTTTCAAAACGTAAAAAATGATGAAAAAGAACACAGAAGCAAATGAACCAACTATCCATCCATCCAACCATCCAACCAACCAACCGTCAATCCTGGTCGCAAGTGATTGCAGGGTGTGCCAGAGTTTGAACATTTCAATGCAATCTGTGTTCAACAAATTACCACATGTCTTTTGCAGAGATATCTGCTCGTGATACAGTCACGTACATCTTTCATTAGTTGTAAGTAGATCATTATTAATTACTCACTTCATTATTTAATAAACAATTCTCTACTGTTAATTAACATTTGATAATTATTTGAAGTCAAAAATAAAACTCGTTGCATAAAATTTTAACCAAACAGTTTTAAAAAGCAGCATAGGCAGCCTGTAAACAAAAAATGCACGAGTCAAATACGGAGCCACAGAGACGACCACTGACCACGCACGACAACTGCAGCAGCTGACATAACTGACCTGCAGGCTGCAATCATGCAAGATGGTGACCAGGGAGTCCCTTAGTCCGGGTATCTCCATGCGGTTCTTTATCCGACTGATGAGTGACACTGGATCGATGTGGCCGCCAACGTTATTCAACAGGACACTTATGTACTCTGTACGTCATACAACAACATCAACTCTGATGAATACCATCAACTTACGTAACTATTCATCATTTCTTATTAATTATTTTTTTATTATCTTTCTATTTATTTTATAATAATTAATCATTTATTCGGTTATTTTTGTTTGATTATTTATTTTTAATCTTCTAAATTGACATTTCATTTAATTATTTTATGAGGTCTTTGAATGCATTGTCGATGCCAACTTCCATTTGCGTTATTTTCCATTTTTACAATTTAAATATTTTTAATATATTAATTACTTGCATAGTACATCAATTTCTAAGCTTATTAGGATTGGATTTTTTAATAAATAAATTTGTATAGAAATAATAATCACAATAATGAAGATTATTTAAAAAAATAAAATATTTCAATAAAAACTAAATGAGAAAATGAGAAAAGAGAATAAATAGATAGAAGAGAAAAGAAAACGAAGGAGAAGAGAAGGAAAAAGAGAGAGAGGGAGAGAGAGAGGAAGAAAGAGAAATAAATTCACCCACCTGGTTTGTCAATGGCGTAGTTGATGAGATCTTGCCAGAGCTCCTTATCAAGGTGCTGCATGCAGAAGTCGATGGCCTCTTTCACGCTCTGTCCTCTCTTCAGCGTCAGTTGGAGGGCTTCTTTCGTATTTCCCATCCTATCTGAAGATGCACGTATTATTATAATATAATTGAAAGAAACTAAATTGAAAAAACTGAAATTGAAAAAAATGATTCCTCATTCTATCACGAATAATTTAAACAAAACAACGATATGGACGTTATTAAATGATTGCCATTTAAGAGTGGAGAAACAGGCAGCCAACCAACCAAGTAGGAAGACCATCTCAGGCACGAGATCCTTAGCTCTGCAAATTTCCAAACTCTCGGACAGTGTTATGTAGGAGCTGCTCTTCAGGAAGTGCATAAGTTTTGACCTGTCAAACTCTGCATACAACTCTACTTGCATCTGGTGATACTCCTTGCCAATGTGCTGGTCCTTCAGGAACAACTGGGAGAGGTACTGCGAGATGGAGGTTGTGCGATTGTGTGCGTGTGCGTATGTGTGTGTTGTTTGATTTTTGTGTATGTAGATGTGTTAAAAATTAATGAGCATTCATCAGGTGGTCAAAGAGTGAACTTAGATGTACAAGGTGAAATCTTCAAGTTTTGGATAAATGATACTGAAAATTCATGTCGCAAAGAATAAAATTTCCAGCTGTAAATGACTGGAAATGAATATGAATGAAGAGTAAACTGTAAATCGAAACTAACGGAATGTAAAAATTTTGGTTGGGACTTCAACTGTGAAACAACTGTCTTCATCTGTTTTTGTTCAAATGGGAATGGAGATTTATGTCATATAACAATTTTAAATGACATTGAGTCATTGGGTCGGACAATGAAAAATTCCAAAAAAAAAAACTTCCAACATCCGAACCGGTATTTTGTCGAGGTTGTTGATGAGCATGTTGACTGTTGTGTCCGGGTCAAAGTTCATGATGGTGATCACGTGACAGCTGACCTCGTTGTACAGGTTGTGCTTGAATATGAGATCGAATATGTCCTTGTGCCCCAATCTAAAATGACGTTTGTTAGTAATAATAGCAACAACAACAACAACAATAATAATAATAATAACAATTTAATCATAATTTTCTATTATGATGTTGTAATTTAAAAAACACTTCATTCATAATTTTAAAGTAAAACATGTATGATAAAAGCTTTAAAAGGTGATAACAAATAATCCAAGAAATGAAATATGAGGACGAGATGGCGATAGTGATGACAGCAGATGATTATGACGCTGATATACAGCGGAACCTCACTTGATGAAAATATACAAGGCTTTCTCATATTTGCCGTCCAGGGTGTAACTGCAAATTGGATTTAAAGAGTATTCGTATTAATATCTTTACATCAGTCATTAATATTGTAACAGCCACAACAACCGCAGTTACAAATTAGAGGAACCAACTTACATTACGTTCTTCAACATCACTAACTGAACATTTCAGAATCCAATTAACTCCAGGCAGCAAACAAAGCAAATAATTTTTTTTTAATTTACTTTCTCAATTTTTTCCAAATTATCAACAAAAAAAACAAACAGCACATGAAAATACACGTGAATCAACGCATCACACACACAGAAATATCTTTGCATTCAAATCCAGTCACTGAAACATCAGTGCCAGGCAACTTAACGGTTACACCATCCCGACAACCATAATCACCAATCAAATCCACATACAGATATCCAAGTGATTCGAGCAGCATGGTGTTGTTCCTGTCAACTTCAAGCTCGTCCATAACCATGTGCACGATCATCTCCACCGTGTATACGTCGCTTGGCCACCTTTTTATTAGATCCAGGAGCATGGTCTTTTGTGATTGGTTGTCAGTGTCGTTGTTGCGTGGTGATTGGTTACCATTGTTTTTGTTGCATCGTGTCGTGATTGGTTAGCAGTGTTTTAGTTGAGTTATGATTGGTTACAAATGTCATTATTGGTTGCCAGAAATGTTGAATTTAAAAGAATAGGATAGAAAGAATTGAATATATGCTAATAAAATGAGGTAATAAAATTGTTTTGTGGTTATTTGTTGTGACAGTATTGAAAACATTTATACGGAAAAGATTCGAATTGAAAAAATTCAGAAACTTAGCTCAATAACAGTCAAATTTTTATTTGTGAATTACAAAAATATTACATGAAATGTGATTAAATGAAAAAATTTTAGCATGAAGTTTGAAAAAGTTGTAATTAATCCTGAGCAATAAAAATCATTATTTATAAATAATAAATAAAAATTACAGATCGATAGTTATCTAGAATAAATTTTCAAGCAATCATCAAAAAATGAAAGAAATGAATGAAAAAATAACCAACATCATTTTTGTTCTGGATGAACTCGTAGAGTACCATGTCGTAGATGTCCCTATCTAAAGTGGGACTCTCTGTGGGGATGAAGGGAGCCAATGCCTGCATTCCATTTTGGTGAATCAAAAATTGTTAATAATAAATGTAATAAAAAAACTAAATTATATGATCATAGATTTCAAATTAATTAATTTAATTCAATAATAAAAAACAATTCTATTTTTAGTACACAGCTGGCAAATTGTTAAATTGTTTAACTCAAACCGATCAACTTGACCTACTGCATCACCAACCTCACAATATCACCAACAATATTACAACATCACCATCAATATTACAACATCACCATCAACACTACAACATCACCATCAACACTACAACATCACCAACAACAATAAAAACTCGTCAGCTTTACAGTTCACAAGCGATAAAACAATTGAAGCGCAGAATAAAGAAACAAATAACAAAGCAATAATAAACTGATGATTTTATTTTAATCTGACACGAACAACAATAACATAAAAACATACAACAACATAAAAAAAACAAACAACAACAAACAACATGAAAACACAAAACTATAAAAAAAAACGGAGAACAAAAACTAACAGCCAGTTGATTAAATTGTTTGAACCTAATGACATTGGTCTCCCATAACTCCTTGTTCCTGCCAAGAATCCTGCTGCACAGCTCAGCTGCCTCCTTGTACTTCTCATCTTCGAGTAGACTGTTGAACCAGTGGAACCCAACATCCTGGTCAGGTGGTGTGGTTAATACATGAAATCAAAATTGTATCAACTTTCAAACTAATTTGTTAATTAGAACGAACATACGAACAAACGAACGAACAAACGAAAGAAAGAAAGAATGAATGAATGAATGAATGAATGAATGAATGAATGAATGAATGAATGAATGAATGAATGAATGAATGAATGAATGAATGAATGAATGAATGAATGAATGAGTGAATGAATGAATGAATGAATGAATGAATGAATGAACGAATGAATGAATTAATGAATGAATTAATGAATTAATTAATTAATTAATTAATTAATTTATGATAGAAACTGAAAAACAAACGGATGAATGAATAGATGCATGAAGGAATAAAATAGTTCATAGATAGAGTTTTTAATCTTTGATTACTTGCGTTGTGATTCTCTTAAGCATCTTTACATTTTTCAAAGCGAATTCCAGCGCTTCCTGATATGTTATTGAAATGAAAAACACTTGAAATAACATTATGAAGACCATGACTGATAAATCCTCAAATTATCATCATCATAGAAACCATTCTAGACTCATAAACACCATCAGTCACTCAGCTTATCATTCATATTATCACCACCATCAAGAATACCAGATTCATCACCATTTTTGACCACAATTATCATCATCATCATCGTCATTTCACTTTCGTCATCACTCTCATCATCATCATCATCATTATCCTCATCATCACCATCACCTTCACTATCATCACCATCTTCATCATCATCATCATTAGCACCATCCTCATCATTATCATCATCATGATTACCTGGAAGGCTTCATGTTCGATGAGCCAGTCGATGTGATCATCTTCATCTCTCTGCCTGGCCACCACTACGTCCTTAGGACTGACGATGAACAGCATGCACTCATCCACGTTGCACTCTGCGTCGTTGTGGATGCACTCCCATTATCCCATTATTATAATCATCCATCATCAGTGCTATTACCATCACTATCATTATCCCATTATCATCATTCATCATCAGTGCAATCATCACTATCATTATCCCATCATCATCACTATAACATTACTAGACCTGTAATTATGTCTCATTGTTGGTAATGATAATATTAGTCTGTTGTATTGCTATATCGTCAATAATAATAATAACAATAATTTTTTATTAAAAAGGTTAAAGGTCATACACTCTTATTGCACCCGAGAAACGTACGACGACAAAAACAGAGTAGTACGTAAATACGCGCCGCGAAAAGCAAGCATCATATGCATTGCATATAATAGGATAGGATCTCTCTGCAATCAAACCAGGCCACAGCAAGCAAAGCAGTATCAGGCGTCGTAAACTATTACGCCATCGGGTCACCCCCCATTACATTATTAATACAACGGCTTACATACCGAGATGATAGTCGACACACTTGTAGGACTGGAAGCCCTTGATGGAGAGGGCATCATTGGAGACCTCCTCACCCGTCTGCGAATCAATTACTCTTATGTGCGGTCGGCATGGGGCGTACTCATCTGTGGCGGCCTTACAATTATGTTATAATTCTCAGAAATTGAAATTTAGACATATATAGTGAATGACATGATCAAACGAAATGAAATCAGTAATTGAAGTATAGACACATATAGTAAACAACATGATCAAACGAAACGTAATCAGTAATTGAAATATAGGCACATATAGAAAACAACATGATAAAACAAAAAAGGTAAAAAAAATAACATAGGTACATCTTGGTGGCTGTCCTGCTCTGCATATGAAAGTACGATGAAGTTTTTGTTGTGTGGGCAGATGCCTGCTATCACAAAGTCCATCATCTTCACTGCGACTGTTGTTCGCGATTGCAAACATAAGGTTTAGACTTTATGTCTCAATTTTTTACACTTTAATCTAAATATAACGCAGAAAGATATCCTCAATCTAAAGTTAGACTATAATAATATATTTAAAAAAAATTATATAAAACCAAATGCAGATAACAAAAAATGGTCTAACTAATTTCCATGTATCTGGTCGGTGGTTCTTTATCATCCTTCGTTGTTACTGGTTCTTTAACCAAACAGACCTTAGCACAGGGTTGATAACATTTTTTTGACACACTCATCCCAATCAATTATAATAAAAATGTGAATTTATATATATGTATGTGGCATAGGCATAAATAAATAAATATATATATATATATAATAATAATAATAATAATAATAATGTCATTTTATATAGCGCCATGGCAAACGACTGAGGCGCATTATCATTATTACAACAAATACACAGTGCATAAATACATGTGTATCAACGCATCACACTTTTGCATGTGATAGGCGGGGATCTTTTTGCATTCGAACCCGGACACTGCATCAACAATGCCAAAACATCACACTTTTGCATGTGATAGGCGGGGATCTTTTTGCATTCGAACCCGGACACTGCATCAACAATGCCAGGCACCTTAGCCATTACATCATTATAGATATATATATATTTATGTATTTATTTATATACAAGTTATATATATAAGTTCAATTTGTAGAAAGCCTATTACAGTCTCATCTCACAGTTCATATTTCTGTTTAATTTCCCAATGTCATGCATTAAAAATGTCAATATATTTTTGTGTCATAAAAAGAATAGAGAGAATAATAGCAAAAATAGAAACCTGTATGACATTATTCCAGCCAATGATCAATGTGACGTCATCCTTCCAGTTCAAGATGCACTTGTTCTTCGTCATGGACAAACTGCTCAGAGATGCAGAACTGTTCTGGCTGCTGTTTACAATGTAACTTCATGGTCAAAAATAAATTTTTTCGTTAAATTAATTACTCCCAAAAGATATCAGATCATTATTTAAAATCTTAAGCATACAGCACAAGGTTCTAGAAATATCATTTCATTATCCAAAGATTAGCATACTAACATGCTATTGTGCAGAAATCCTATTTATATTTAACTGTACTTGGATGTTAGAATCAAGAACATTTAATAAATGTAGTACTTAATAAATGTGGTTGGTGTTAGCCCCTTGCAGTTATTGCATTTAAAGTAAATACCATTTGAACGCTTTAATAAAATAAGCTTCTAATTATTCCAATATGCTCCTAACTTATGATGCGTGCTTTATAGCGTCAGCATTCATTACTCTTAATCATATTGAGAAATAACCTCCCAACAAAACTCCAATGAATAAGTAGAACAAAAAAACAAACATTAATTATTATTTTGAAGAATCAAGAACTTGAAAAAAATAAATTTACATAAAACAGACGAACATCAAAAAAATATTAAACCAGATGAACAACCACGACAACAGCAACAGTGATGAAACAACACAGACAGACAGACAGGAACAAACCCAGGTTGAATGTGACGTGGTATCTTACTGATACGTTTCCTAACTGACATGTCATACACATTCACTCCCTTGTTTTTAAATTGAAAATTAAATCGTTATACTGGATGAAGTAATTTTGCAAATAGTAATAATGTGAATGAAACAGCAATAACAACTGTTACAAAAAACTAAAACAGTTTTTTTTTGATCAACTAAATGAAGTTGTAGGCAACAGTTTGCAAATTCTCATCAAAAATAGAAATGATTTAATTGAAGTTGTATTTCTCCAGACTAAATAACCCTACAGCAACTTATGAGGCACAAATCATGATAGCAATAGCAACCAAGAAGTAACAACTTCCTAAAAAACCTAAGAAATCATAGCTGACCTGCTGGAAAGACCAAGCGACAAGTGAAGACCTCCACTTGATGTTTTGAATGCTGGACTCCCCCTGGTGCAGAATGTAGGTCTTCATGCGATTCAAAAAGCTCTTCTCATACAAGATCAACTGTCATATGTTTCATGCACCACATACAATCTCTTTTTCCATTTATTTGTTTGATTTTTAGCCAACAAAAATGTTCAAACATATGTACATACACACATTCATTTCTCATGACTTTATAAAATGATTCTTTCAACAATATAGGAACCCTGATTCACTTTTCAACCAGTTATTATCCTTTATGCTTTCTTTTTTTCAGCACTTCTTACTTCAATCCAAAAACTTATTAACTTTATAAGTATAAATAGCTTTGCTGCTACCCACATTGAATAACACAACCAAAATTGATCCAACTTGATAAACCAGAAAGACAAGTAAAAAAATTACAACTACCTTGTTGTCGCCAGCTATGAAATGCTTGTTACTCTTATTCTTGCTGAAGTTTGGGTCGATGGCAACTGATTTGATTGGACGGTTCAAGTTCACTACTTGGTTATTTTCAGATGTGTATAAACCATTCAAAATAACCTATTATATATGAATGTGTTGGTGTGTGTGTGTGTGTGTGTGTGTGCGTGTGTAAGTGTGTGCGTAAGTGTGGTGTGTGTCTGTATTAGTAAGTAAGCCATTTAAAATAACATGTGTGAACATAAGAGTGCATATTTTTTATTGAAATGTGTTAATTTGCTATACTAACTGGAAAATTTAACAAATTTTTTAAACTAATAGACTATCAATGTTCCTCCAGAATGAAACCACAAATCTTTTATCAAATGATAATATAACGGCATTGGAAAAATTGCAATGAAGCAATTTTAAAATGTAACTGGCATGCTGCCTATAATTATGACTTTGCTATTTCAATTTTAATCTAAACAATTTTTTATTGTGAGTTGAACAAGCCAAAAAATTTTGTAATAAAAAATATTAGAAACAATGAAGAAAAAATTAAAGCAGGATGAAAAAGTGAAATCACTGACCTTGCCATCATCAGAGCAGCTAACAATGTAGTCACCAGAAGCATCTATGCTCATCTGATTCACTGTTGTTGAATGCTGGAAAAATCATTCCATAAATTTGACTCTCTCAGAATACAAAATTAATATCTAAGAAGTGTTTGTATAAATGAAGCAAAGTGAAACTCTAATTTAAAGTTTAATCCAAAAGTGAAATAGAAATACTCATAAAACTACCATTATCAATTTGTGCTTCTGCTCAATAACATTGCCAACATGGTCCATAATATAGATGCTTCCCCAGTGTGTGCCCACTGCTAGGAACTGTCAATCAAAGTGCCACTCAATGTTTGAACGATGTTACAAATGAAATTAAGTGTCTGTATATAACAAATTGCTAATGGCCAGCCTATTGCAATAGGAATAGAAAAGAATAAACAATAGCCATTTAATTTAGCATAAACAGTGTGTAGGCAGGGATAAGGAGATGCAGCAGTATGTTATATGTTCCATGTTTTTATCTCTTTATCGGTGAAATTTATATTTTTTTGTAAAATAAACTTTAAAATATAAAATTTTAATATAAAATCATAAAAAAAATAAGTAATAAAAATCTTATGTGGAACTATCAGCATAGATAACTTGAGAGAATTACATACTCTTATTAATTTATATAATAATACTACAACACATACTGTTTGTTATATAAATATGTATATTATATACTCCAAATTGTTAAGCAAATGTTTTCATGAAAGCACATGTACTTTAGAATGAACTGCCAGACAAGAAACCGAATCCCGATTGACAATTGATGACAATCCATTTCCCATACGTTCATATTTTAAACGAGGTTCTACCTAATATTTCAACAAGTAAATATTATAATTAAATTATAATTTATATGAAAGAACACACACAAACACAACCTGTAATCATTAACAATACAAAACAGGTTTTATTATTAAAAAATAGAAACATTTCAAATTTTACACAATTTTTTTACTCTAATCATAAAACACATGTGACGCCATATATAATGTTATTTTTCTTCTTAATTATTTATAAAAATTATTATACAAAAATATAAATAAAATAAATATCATATAAGACATGTCATACGTATTATATTATATATATAATAAATAGTAATATTATTTCATTTATTTTTATAACAACCTCATCCTCCATAAGTTGCAGTCTAATAATTTCTCTTTCCTTAGATTTTTTGAATTTTTATATTTATTAGATTTTTTATCTTCTAACTAAATTAACTTTTTTAATAAATAGACTTCTTTATTTTATAATATAAATATTTTTATATTTATTTTTTTGAATTTTTATATTTATTAGATTTTTTTATCTTCTAACTAAATTAACTTTTTTAATAAATAGACTTCTTTATTTTATAATATAAAATATAAAATTTATATTATAGATTTTAATTTAATTTTTATTTATGTACAACTCAAGCAGTCTTCATAGCTTGCTCAGATAGCCTTAGAGTCTAAACTCTAAAAAGCCTTAGATTTGGTTAGTGTTAGTCTAGTAATGAATATATATATTAATTTATTAAAATTAAGTCTTAGTAGTCTTGTGATTTCATTCATTTACTATTCATCAGCCCAAAAGTGAGTTCAAATTATGAAAACAATTAGCATTCAGATAATACTCTAATTAATTAAAAAATTAGTTGGTAATTAATATAATTCATCTACTTGAAAACGCCTTTTCAAGTATAATTTTTGTAATAGAAAAGTAAAATGAAAAAAAAACAAGAATAACTAAAAGTGAACATTTGCAAAGACATAAAAGTAATTTGTAGCAAAATACGGAAATCATAATATGGAATTCCAAGTATATGGGTATTCACATAACTTATAATAATGTTATTATAATTCATAAAAATTTTTAAAAACTAAATCTGATGATGCTTACTCGACTTATTGCAGTCCTTTACCTTTCTCTATTGGCTAAACACTTGAAAGCCAATTATATACTAAGTATACGGACAGTACTTTCAAACCATAAACTTTTACAAACATAGGAATTAAATATCCACCAATGCGGGTTACAAATAGAATATGTTAATATGTATTTTCTGAAAAAAAATGAACACACTAATTGAAGAAGCCAAACACAATTTGTTGTCCGGTAATCTTCAGCTCACATGAAAAATTGATGAAAAATCTAATATTACCCATACCAACGCCCTCTCCCTAACAACAAATCAATTCTGCACCAACGCAGACTTCCTAACAGCAGACCCATTCTGCTCCAAAGCAGTTTTCCCAACAAAAGATACATCCTGCACTAACGCTGATTTCCAAGTTACACCAACGCAGTTTCGTTAACAACACAACATACTAATCAATCTAACCACGGATATAACCATGAATCCAACGTCAATTTTGCTTTAAATTTACATTGATCACAATCACTAAATATATATGTCCAAAAATCAAATGTCATAATTAACGGGTTTTAAATAACTATTAATGACTGTCATTAATAAAATTTGCGTAATATAAATTTTCAAAAATTATCAAATCTATAAGATGAAGTGATATTGCGATAGAAATTGCTGAAGTGCCGAATTATTAAATTCACATGAAACTTCCTTTCTTCGATTACTCTGCTGCCTACATTTCTCTTATCATTATAATATAAATTATTATTATTTATTTATTGTATTATAATTACTATTGTTGTTGAGTACCTTGAGTACTTTGAGTACCTTCCTCTTCAAATTTTTTCTCAATTTCCTTTAATAGTTATTACGTAGAATTGGCGTCTTATTTTTGGCTCCTAATTTGCTGATTGAAATTTTTTACATTCTTTCTTTCAATAGTTTAGAATTTTATCATCCAAATCTATAAAAGATTTCAACATTACAAGGTTCAAGGTCGGCAGAGCTGTTGACTTTCAACACATCATGTAATTGCACATCATGTCATTTTGTCACATCAAATAGTTACTCTTTATCACTACACACACTTTTTTCTATCTCTCTTTTTCTTTCTCTTTTAAAATATACATGTTGGATAAACATATGCATATGCATCAATATATGATAGAGAAACACACCTATGGAACTGTTTTACAGAAGCTGATTGGACATTAATGAAATTTGATTTGATAGAAATTGCGCGTTTTAAATTTATTTATTAAAAAAGAATTATTAAAATAGCTTAGTTTAGTTTATTATATTAGCAGAATCATAAAACAGATTTCATTGAACTGTTTAAGGCTATTTAAAATTCTGTAAAATTTATCATTGACCCTGACGCTACGTTGCACGCACATCACTTCTCAATGAGCTTTTAAAGGGAAAGTAAAGGTTAACTCACGACACGAAGTTTATCAGGTGCCTGTTTTTTTTAAACTCAACCCGTCCGGGTCGCGGACTTGATTGATTGATTATTTTACGGAATTATTATTTGGTTAAATTTGATTCGATCCAAATATGGAAGACCTATTGAAGTCGTATGTATTAAGTCAGGAAACGTACTATCAGATCAGAGATACAATATCACAAGAATTATCATTGGGGTTATCCAAGAGTTGTGAGAGGTCATCTATAAAAATGTTGATTTCCTACGTCCAGAACTTGCCGACAGGGCGAGGTAGGTGCTGCTTTGCATGTTTTGTTGGTGTAGTTTTGTTGTTATTTGGTATCTGTTACTGTCAGTGACATGTCATTGCTGAATCTTGAGTGACACCTGACTTAACAACACATGGTTGTAGGTAGTAGGTGTTTGTAGAAGTTTGCATGTGGAATTGTGTTGTGATTGATCCATTAAAAAAGTGAAATTAATTAAAATCAAATTATACAAATGGGTATACTTATACTATACACATGATCTCTAATATTTATATTAGAGATCATGTGTATAGTATAAGTATACCCATTTGATTTTAATTAATTTCACTTTTTTAATGGATCAATCACTTTTTAATATTAATTCTATCTTGTGTAGAGTTGCATCATTTTACCGTTTCTTTTTTTTAAATAAAGAGAGTTTTTAACACTTGCATATAATTTTTTAGTTTTTCAGAAAAATTTTCAATATGGTGAAACTTTTATTTATAGTCATATTATACTAAATTAATTTAAAAACTACATTTAACAGAAATAGGAGAATTCTTAGCACTTGATCTTGGGGGATCGAACTTTCGCGTGTTGCTCATTCATTTAAATGGATCACCAAGTGCTTTTAGAATGGAAAGTAAAATTTATCCATTGACTGACAGCATCAAAGCTAGTGTGGCTGTGGAGGTTGCTACCATTTTCTGAATTACATGTTTCAATTTTTCATTTAAGTTGATACAATTATTTTAAAAAACTTCATTAATTAATTAGTAGAAGCTGTTATTAATTTCATAAATATTGATATATATATTTTTACCGTGTTTTTCCATAAATGATCTTATTCTACTTTTTGAAAATAATTCATTTTAATACAGAGTTTTGCCATTAAATTAAATATATGTAATTTATTTCAACAGCTGTTTGATTACATAGTCGACTGTGTAGATGATTTCTTGAAAACTGTAAAAATCAGTCACTACCCTGTACCATTGGGCTTCACATTCTCATTTCCCGTCATCCAAAGTGGTCTTGCATCCGGAAGGTTAGTTCAGTGGACAAAGGAGATAACATGTGATGGTGTCGTTGGTGAAGATGTTGTCAGACTGTTGCATGAAGCAATTCAGAGGAAAAAAGTAAGTTTTTTATATTTTTTAAACATCTTTTGTATGCGTGTTAATCTGAACATTTTTTAACATTTATACATTTTAAAATATTTGTATATTTTTTTATCTTTGTTTTGTATTTTTATTGGAAGTTTTAAACTTTCTCACAAGTATTTTGTTATATTGTATTCTTTAGTTTCTTCAATCTATCAATGAATTTATAGCACAACATTTTTTTATTTTTTGCTTTATTTATTTAGTTTTTATTAAAATAAATCATAACAATTATGATATCATAAAACAAAAAATTCATAAAAAAATGTTGAATCATTATTTTTGAGGTCTGCCAAATGTTTCTATATATTGCAGACACTACAAGTAGAATGTGTAGCACTTGTTAATGACACTGTTGGTTGTTTGATGTCCTGTGCATATGAAGATATTCAGACTTACATGGCTGTTATTATTGGTTAGTTGGTTGGTTTATTGATTGGTTGACAGATGAATTGGTTGGTTGGCTGCTTGCTTTAGCTGAATGATTGGTTGATTAGTTGGTTGATGGGTTAGTTAATTGGTCGTTTTGTTTGTCAAGATGTGCTTTTTTTTATTTGGTGAACTTTGTTTTATTTGGCAGCATAAATGGCAGTTAATTATTTTGTCTTTTCGTTTAGTTTATGAAATATTTTTTTACAAGTTTTTGGTCCATACATAAATCTAACAATAACATTATTTATTTCATGATAGATAAGAAGTTATCTTATTTAATTTTGTAGGAACTGGTTCCAATGCGAGTTATGTTGAAAAAGTGAGAAACATTGAAAAGTGGCAACCTGATGCTGATGAAACATCTGACGAGGTTTGAAACATAATTTCAAGCTATATTTAAACATTCAACATCAATACAGTTGTATATACGCATATGATAATAACAAATGCTGATGAGGTTAAATTTTGAAATGCTTGATGACCACCATCAACACCATCCATCACTCCCATCAGATGATAATCAACACAGAGTGGGGTGGTCTGGGGGACAATGGGTGCATTGATTTCGCCAGAGGACCTGCTGATTACATAATTGACGATCGCTCACTTGATAAACGTCGACAAATGTATTAATGCTTTGTTATAAAATTTGCATGAATAGTCAGCTTGAAATTTTCACTTTTTTGTTTGTGTGGCTAATTATTTGTATCATGTATGTAATTCTGGTTTATGTGCATGGTTTGTCATATTTCAGAACTCTTTTAAACAATGATGATTTATAAAATTTTCATTTGTTTTCATGTGTGAGGCAGTTTTGAGAAGATGATATCAGGAAGATATCTCGGTGAAGTAGCTCGTTTAGTTTTGTTGGAGGCTGTCAAGGCCAATCTGCTCTTTCACCAGCCAGGCAGATTGGTTGAGGCTTTCACAAAGGAGTACGGATTTCTCACCAAATATCTTTCTGAAATTGAAAGGTTTTTAGTACTGGTTATTATTCCTTTTTACTGACATTGTTTTCAAAAATTCATTCAATTCATTCTAGAATTATTATTCCATAAAAAATTTTTAATCATATGCTAGGAAACATTGATATCAACGTTTAATGGTGATATTAATTTTATTTCACACGGTGATTTAATTTTCCACTTCTCATTTTTGAACATTTTCAAACGTTTCTAGTGACACAGGTAAGACTCATTCAAAGACTCGTCGCATATTAACGGAGCTAGGTGGGCTATTTATTTTTTACTCTTGCTAAAAACACAAATTTTTAGGAATGGTTTTTTTAGTTATATTTAGCTTTCAAATCAATGGAAGTTTTATTCAAAATATTTTTTATCGTCATCATCATTAGTTGTTCAAGAATAATTTAATTAATGCAAATCTTATTATTTTAACATTTTATTTATTGAATCAAACTTCACCATCACACTGTTGTGTCTGTTGTTGTTGTCAATATTAGCATCTCTCTTATCAGTACTTTTTTGCACCAGAATCCGCTTTTTTGTTATTATCTCATAAATTTAACTCTGGTGTTATTTTCAGTTATTACCATTATTCCTATTGTTATGTTTGTTGTTACTATTGTAATTGATGATAATTAACACCGGACCACCTGTTGTTGCTTGTTCACTTAGGCGTGAAAGACTTAACATATGATGAATGTTCCTTGGTGTACAAAATCTGCAGAGTCATCTCCAAAAGATCAGCCTATCTCTGTGCTGCAGGTTGGTTCACTTTTTTTTGCCGTTGTTTTGCCGTTGTGTTGTGTTTGCTTTTCAGGCATTCTCTGTACCCTTCTCTTGTCTGCGTGTTGTAATATGATTCAGCGTTTTTGATTTTAATAGTTTCTAACAGTTCACAACTGATTTGAAACAGGGATAGCAGCGGTGTTGAACAACATGAACAGACCCGAGGTTACGATCGGTGTAGATGGAAGTTTGGTCAGGTGTCATCCAACATTCCTCGACCACATGCTTCAGTTCACTAAGAAACTCATCAATCCAGGGATCAATGTCGGTATCGTTGCTCACTGTTCATTAAGTTATTAAGTTTATTTTTCGTCATTAAAGTTTTTTGTACCTTCAAACTTTCACACATTCTTGTGTTACGTGAATATATAAATTCATTTTTTACGTTTTTCATACGTTTTTCTAAACTTTTAATTGAAAGCGGTGTTGTTCAGTTATTTATACTTTTTGTTGAATTAAATAATTATCTAAATTTTTATTGATTTTTTTCTTGCGAGCAGATAAAAATGCGTTTAAGTGAAGATGGAAGCGGCAAAGGGGCTGCCCTGATTGCTGCTGTGTCCATAAGAAAGATGCATTGAGTGAATGGCGGTCCAATGAAATCGTAATGCATTCTCCATCATTTAATTGTAAATAATTTTTGTTAATTCTTTGCTATTCCTAATCTCGACTAATTTTTTGAGTTTGTTAAACTTCTGCTAATTGGAATAGTTAAATGTGTGAAATTTTTTTTATGTTTTTTGTTTTAAAAAAATATGGTTGCTTCAACTTGCTAACATTTTGCAAATTTAAACGTTGATTTCGTTTATTATGTTTATTATTGTTTTGATTTAGACATTGTTATTTAAATAAATATAAACATTGATTTTGTTGGAGTCGTATATACTCAAAATTGTCGGTGAATCCTTTAATTATTTATGGTAAAACATATTTATCATTGTATTTTTTTATTGGATGCTTTGAGTTTTCAAAAAATTCATAATATGTTTTTTCTTTTGTGATAGTTGACAGTTAGGTGATTAATTGTTCAATCTGGTTGTTTTCATATCACAGATGGTAGATAATTTTCATAAGATTGTTATAGGGTTGGTGGGACTTTAACATCTTTCAATTCTGATCTTATTGACCATAAATTAATTAGTTGAAGTTATATACACATATTTAAGTTAGATAACATTAACATCAGTCTAACTTTACTAATTGTTCGTCGATTGAATGATGGCTATACTACTAGAATAAATAGAAATATACGATTGACACTTGTCTATCTATATATGTTCATTAATTTTTTATATATGGTTATTTCAAAAATGTTTATGTATACTATATTTTTTATTTATATATATAGACTTTAGAAACGTAATTCATTTACTGTATTAAACAGCCTTAGCTCAATTGTACATATATATACATTTATTCGTTCATTGATATTTCTGCATCTTTTGATCAAATGTTAATTGATTGCGAAACGGGACAGGCCTAGTCGCTGACACCTAACTTAGATTTAGAAACTCAAATAGGAATGGGTGCTTGCAGTTGGACATACACACGCACGCACACACGCATGTATACATACATACATACATACATACACAGTTCATGTTTTAGACTCGCGCATAATTATATTGAAGTCTCTGGTCTAAATTTTGTTATATTTTAATCTTCGTATGCTGATTTTATTTTTTTAACCGATAATTTTATTATCATTATAGTTGAATTAATAGATTCTATTTTTGATTCATGTATCTTGTTTGCTGTTGATCATGAAAAAAAATGTTTAAAACGAGGCTGTTGTGAAATTATTGTACTGCCGATTTAATATTGTATTTTTAATAATAAAAATAGTAATAATATCTGGCGTGGGTTTATATTTTTGTTAGAAGTCTTCATTAAATCGTAAGAGTTTTTAATAGTAATGGATGATTTGGTCATTGTAAATTTTTGCAGTGCCTGCTATGTTAATTTATATCTAATCTCATATTAAACATACAAATTTATTATATTGTACTATTTTGAAAGTTGCGTTTAAAAAAATAATTTTCATCTTTCGTACCAAATTATGTTTAATCTTGATCACTCTATGGCCTTTATGTAATGGTCAAAGCAATGTCATGAAACAACTTGAGAGTGTGGAGAAGTGTGTATGAGTTTGTAGATTATGAACTATCTTCTTGTTTATGAACTTATTAAATAGCCTAATACGATGGAAGGGTATGATGAAGACGAGTTATTTAGTCTAGTTAGGGATTGTAGCCAAACACTACACTTATGCCAAGGGTTGAGTAAACCTGGTTTGTTTGCATAGATGCATGAATAGGATTAAACATTTTTGAACCTTTCACTAAGTGTTAAACGTCATTAGAATTTGTATTCAAATTCGATTATTCTATTATAATAGAAAAAAGTTTTGCCGATTAAAAAAATGATCGTAGCATTGGTTTTGTTATCGCTCAATCGTTTTTCAAGTTTTGTTTAACTATCTATTAATTATCTATTAATTAACTATCTGTTAATTATTGTTTAACTGTCGATTAATTCATTAATTTTTCAATATTTTAAACTTCGGCACCCATATGCCTATAAATTTAGAATACTCCAAAAATCTTGAAATCGGAGAGTTTAACCCTGAGCTTTTTAATATCCGCAATTATTCGCCAGTAAATACCGACTAATAGTAAACATTACAAAATATCGAATCGAGACCTGTCGGTATATTTAATTTTAATGTATTGTTTTGAGACTGGCTGCCCACGGATCCTGGTCTTTCTATATATAGTATAGGGATTTGTTAGGAGGATTGTTTGATTTGTTGGAACCCAATCTTCCGTATGCTCCTCAGTTGGTCAAGCAAGGGAAATGCTAAATAACAATGGAACGCAAGCCCGTTGCCACATGTGATTTTAATTTTTTGTGGTGCTGTTTGTTAATTATGTTGTTAATTAATTAACTTATTAATCATTAATATCTAATATTAATTGTAATAAAATAAATATAATATATGTAATTGTAAATTACGTTATTGAAAGATGTTTAAACTAAAATTTATGTTCAAATTTAATTGAGAATTTCTTCTAATAGAAAGTATGATTTATAATACAGGTGGTATAATAGACCTTATAGAGTATATAAACTGTAGAAAATTTTTAAACATATAACAATATTTTTTTATGCAGCCAGTCAAAAATTAAATTAAAAAATAATAGATCCTGTGAGTGCAACTTTAATGAAAATTTTGCCTGATATATCATATATTGTTTGTAATATAAATAATTATTGATGGAGTGCTATTAATCAAATTCAATCGTTTAATCATTAATGTCCTCTTCTGTTTTTTATTAGTTAAAGAAAATGTGACTGGTCTTTTTCTCAAGTTGAAGCCCTACATTGAAAAGTATCTAGTCAAAGACTTATTTGATTGGAAAAGGTAATATTTGTCAAAATTGTTTTTTCATTGTTATTTATTTGACAATTTCATTGAATAAAAAACTTTATTATTTATTTCCAGATCTTTTGGCAGGCCTACAAGAAGTATTAAAATAGAATTAAACTTTGAAGAGTTTGATCCAAATACCATAAATTTTGAAGATTCTTGGGTCTTATGTGCAAGGCCCATATTACACACATTTTGGATTGACTGTGTAATTTTATACTTTTTTTTTACAATTTTAATAATAAATTTTGCATGTTAAAATTTATATATAATATTGTTCAAATAAACCAGGATGTTGATACTTACAAGCTGAATGTTAAGGATGAAATAAACAACTGGCTGTCAATTTTAAAAGAAAAAGATGTTAATAATTGGTTGATTGTTGTCATTGTCAATGCAGATAGCAGGGTTAAAAGTAAACTATTGAGAAACTCCACCTATGATAAAGTTAAAAGTGATTTTTGCAGCAAACATGTTGACAGGTCTTGTTTCATCCTCAATTATTATTGATTCTTTTTTTTGTTTTATCTTATTTGTTGACCAGATTCTATTAGACACTGTTATTTCAGCATTTACCAACTCTTTTTTAGGTTAAGTTAATTTAATGTATGTGAGTAGTATTAAAAGTTGCTTTGTCAGTTTTTCTTGGTTTTGTCAATAATTTTGTCTAAAAGTAGCCATTTTAACAATCAGATGTTATGGCCAAATGGGTAACCACGTTACTGTAAACTAACTGACAATGCATTTAAATTATTTGCACCTAAAATATTAATAGAAGTTAATTGGATGAATTTTAAATGATTTTTTTTTTAAATTTTTAGATGTATCATGTTATGTGAGCCACTGAAGAATGATGCTCGATCGATGGAAAATTGGAATGCAGTAGGAAGTAGGATGAGGATGCTGACCGTGGATTCCTACACGAGATTGATGGACAAGTTTGAAGAGAACATGAGGATGCAAAGAGAGAGGAGGGTGGAGGTTGAATGGAACTTCTGCAGTTACTTCCTTTTGCAGGTTCTCTACCTCAGCCTGTTAAAATGCTAATAATGTTCATTTATCGTAAACTTTTACGTACAAACATTATAAACACCTTTAAAATTAGTTTCATGTGCAATATTTGAGTTTATTTTTTGTAGATGTTTACATAAAAATCTTAACAAAATTGATCATGATACAAAAGGAAGAATTAGCATTCATGTATGAGATGTTGGGCTTGTTTCAAGATGCACTTATCCAGTATGATGAGTTGGATGCTCTCTTCACGCAATTTGTTCTCAATTCGTCCATAGCAGGTTACTCTCATCTTCCATGCTCTTATTTTTTTTTAAAATTTTTTACTGTGTTTGTTTTTATTTTTTGCTCATGCTCAAGGAATCCTAATGAGAAAGTGTATGAATTTTTTTATTATTTTTAATATAACATTAACAATGACTTTTTTATTAAATTTAGCTGTTTTCAGCTATTTTGTTGTTCGTGATGGCTTCTATTGAAACGAATTATTAGAAGCAGCTCCCTGGTTGGAAAGAATGAGTTGTAACCAAGCGACTCGGTGGGACGGGGTCTGCCTCTGCCGACCACTCGACCTACTCAAACAAAACTCCATAGCTACAAACAAATGCAGTCTTCTTGATTTGAGAAGTTACCTTTTCGGTAGGCAGAGTTACCTGCTGTTGAGGATGTCCAGAGTGAGTGAGTTGTTGCAGAGGGCAGTTCCTTTCATGCTCAATTTCATCAAGGAAGTCAAACTTTTACAGGTCTGACTATATAATTTGTTATAGTTAGAGGTATGATGCTAATTATTTTTTGTGTGTAGTGATTTAAGCTGATTTGAGTACCACTGAATCATGATTTTAAAAAATATGAGTAACATAAAAAATTGGTAAGATATCCTGAAAAAAAGCTATTAATCCATTAGAAAAGAATTATTAAGGTGTGCCTAGCTAGTTCTACGTTTATTAACGTGTTGTAGCATAATCTTATTTTTTTAAAGTTTTTATTTGTTTTCATTTTTAAATATAATAGCGAAATTTCAGAATGCAATAATAAATGGTTTGTTATTATTAAATCATGGTCCAATATTTAGTTTGAAATTAACAACCATCACCTCCGCCTTCTACCTTAATTAGCTTACTCTGCCTCCAGGAGCCATCAATTGCTGGATCTTTCTCTCTTGCATGGAAATCCTCAAGGTCTGCTGTCCTGACAACAAATTTCAAAGGTCAGATCTTGACAGGTCACATTTTGATTGTGAGCTCTGGAATCTTGCTAAAAGTAAGGTGAATGAACTTCCCATTTTTGTTTTTCTATATCTACTGTTCATCAGAATTATTCACAAATATTATCCTTCTGTCAAATCAATTCAAAACCGGAACTAGAAGATTTGTCTGGGGGGGGGGGGTAAAGGTCAGTTTGCCACTCCTTTCCCCCTCACCACACGTAAAAATATCATAAGCCTCCATAAGCTATTTGAAAAGCATAAAGTTTATGTATTACTGTGACACCAGAAAAATTTTTTAAACAATTTGAAAATAAGCGTTATCTTCGTGTTATCAGTTGAGTAACCTGGGAAGAATTTGCGGACTGATGGTAGGAGGTGACTCACAGCCATCATCGGATCATCTCATGGTGGTCATTGATCTGCTGCCTGGATTGGTGCATACAGCAGGTTCTTATCTTACCGCATTACGTAGTTGATTTGTTGGGTCTGGTTGAGTTTGCGTTTTTGTTTGTTTGTGTGCGTGTTTGCACACGAATCATTGTGGTTTTTGGACTTTCCGTGTATGTATGCATGGATACCTTAAATAATGTGTGCGTTTTTTTGTGTGTTGGTCTCAAAAATCAAAAGTGCATTCCAGTAACGTAGCATTGATGAGGAGGATTAACGATATAGCCTAATGATAGCTACAAAATGGCAATAATATCTCCTATAGTATTGAAATTTATGCTTAGAAGCATTTTTGCATAATTCAATTTCTTCTTTTCTAACTGCTGTAGGCGAATCGTCACATCTCAACAGACTTCTCGAAGCCCTGTCGTCCAAAAAGGCTTTTACACAATATTACCTAGTTGGTTTCATTCAACATCATCATTGTGCTATGGATAATTGACTATGTATCTAGTAATAACAGCATTAGAGGCAGTAATAAATTTGAAAAAACATTACGTTTTTTTACTGTACAGGAGCTGTTAGAACAATGCATCTGTTCACTGAAGCACGTAGGTAGACTGAGGAGTGCCAAATATGTTGGGAAGGAGTTGGCCGAGTTCTACCTGTTCGTTCGTTCGTTTGTTTGTTTGTTTGTTTGTTTGTTCGTTCATTTGTTTGTTTGTTTATTCTTCTTGTGTATTTGTTTATTTATTTGTATATTTGTTCATTCTTTAGTTTGTTTACTTTTTTTTTTATTTGTGCATTCATTTTTTTATTTATTAAAAATTTATATTATTTTGCTTATTTGCTTAAATTTGCTAATGAACTTCAAATAACTTTTTTCATAAGATTGATTGAAGATTATGGGAAAGCCGAACCACATTTGACGGATGCTTTGAAGACTTACAAATTAGAAGGTGCCGTCATCAACAACATCACTAGCGTCCTCAGTAGATCATCATTAACACCACAATCGTGATATTCTCATTTTCACATTTTCATCATGACCTTTGTTGTTTCTTTATAGTTATCACGTTACATCAACTCATTGCCACATCACATCATCACATCTATATCATTTCATAATGACTTTACCACCACTATGATTCAGGCTGGGAAATGTTGGCAAACCACACAAGGTTTAAAATAGCTCTCTGCCAGAAAAAGCTCAACGAACTGCACAAGTTGCATGCCTTCTTTTATAAACTAATATTATTCTTAGATTAATAAATCATATCAGATTGATTAGAATCTGATATCTGATATGATCTATTCATCTGTTAATCCACACCAAACATGTGGTTTTGTCTCTTTAAACATTCATTTATTCATTCATTCATTCATTCATACATACGTACATAAACCAAGCATCTGTCTATTTATCCTTTGTTTGTTCATTATCCATTCATTCGTCCAGGTACTGTCGAACATGTTTGTACATATCTTCAAGTGTCTCCATGAGTATGGAAACTCGCATCAAATTCCTACAAGAACTTATTGACATTTCAAAGTCACGTGACAACGACGACGGTACTGACTTATTTATCATGCTGTTGTCAGTTGTGATTTTTGTGAAACAAATTTTTTTTATTAATTTTCGTATTAAAATTTGAATAAATGGTTGTTTTCGTTTAATTTACTTTATCATACCTGAAAATAGAATTAAAAGGCAAGAAAGATAACCATCGTCATCATCAATTACATCTGAGATGTTTCCCGGGTTTCATAGCGTCTGTTACGTCATCGTCATCAGCACCATCAACTCAATCGTTACCATCACCACCAACGTCGTTGTCACCGTCATCACAAGCCTCTCTTCCATCATCTACATTATTAATCCCGCCCCCTTCCATGTCAATCAAACTGATGTTGGAGGATGTAAAGGTTGATGACAGTGTGGACTATCGTGTCAATGTGTTGTCAAATTTGCCCGTTGATGTCAGCATGAGAAGCATTCTCATCTATTTCACTTGCACTGACAAGCAGGTTGTTTTTCAATGTTGTATCATCTAGTTACTTTGTGTGTTGTTTTTTCTTCATTATTTCAGGTTGTGTTCAGTTTTAGGACTGATTAATGAAATTGAAAGGCTATTTTGTTTCGACAAATATTAGCGTGTCTTTATTTTAAATTTCATTTTTATAATTTTTTAAACTATGCGTTTGAATGCGAGTATAAAATTAGTATTTGTTACAAAAAATGCATGGAAATTGTGATAACAATTAACTTTACAATCTGGAAAAATTTTTGTAGGTCGTTTCTTAAGTGTGCACCTCATTTTTAAATTTAAGTCCTGAACTTAAAATGTGTGTGCATGCCTTTTTCATGAAAAACAGCGAAGAAGCGGCAATAGCGAGAAGTTGAATGTGAGGGTACAGGCAACGAGTGGTCGGTCAAATTCGTCTGAGGCTGTTTCGTTATCAAGGATGGTATGTAACCTCTGTCCGATGTTATCTTATTAATGCATTTTTTCCACTGCTTTGAAATGTTTTTTAATAGTGGCTTGGTTGAATTTAGCTAATTTGATGTGCATTGAAGTTCTGTTATGACCTGATATAACTTGTATGTTGCTATGTTTATTTTATCTTCACTCCAGTAATGGCTAACAATTGTAGTTATGATGATGATGAAGATTATCTTGAGGTTGCGTTGTTGAAATTGACAGTATTTTGCATCTGAACACTTTGAAATTGACTGACAGAGCAGTTTGGACCCGTCATCTGCCTCCTCCCCCAACACAACCCCCCATCAAAGTTTCCCACAGCACCACCCTCTCCAATCCGATCGCCTTCGAAACATGTCAGGTCAGTCTGGAAAGTACCATGCCCGCCAGTCCAGCATGTCCAGTGCTCTCGGTGGATTCGAACTCATCAACCGCATTGCTGAAACTGTCTCCATCAACTTTCAACCCGTCAACATGAAAGAAACTGTCCACTACTTCGAAGATGACCACGAAGACGATGATGAGGATGATGAGACCACAGTTGCTTCGAAGGACAGGCTGGACAGAATGAAGGACACTGAAAGTATCACCAGCACCAGTCGCAATAAGAACTCGCCTGACATCAGCAGAGCTCCTATGTTCTCTGCCCTCGTTTGCAAGTCAGATTTTTGGCTCAATTTTTTTATTTGTTCATAGATTACCAAGTAAAACAAAACACGAACAAGATACTGTTAAATGTTTTAATCTGGTACATATTAAAACTTAAAAGTTGGCTAGAAAAAGTTCAAATTAAAACTGGAGTGATAAACGAGGAAAAATGAAAAAAAGTTTAAATGAACGAGTTTACTACATACGTTTTTCATGCAATTATTAATCATATATAATCATAACATTTTGAGCGCGTTTTTTGTTGGCAGCAATGTGAAAGATGTAGGAACACTTGCTAGCTACATTAAAAATTCTGCACATCATCTCTGAACATGGAGGATGGAAATGTCTAATTACAAAATAAATACCGCTGATTACAAACAATCACATCTACAACAGCCTCAATCTGTATAACTTTTATGATCTGTTCTGCATTTTATAAAAAAAATGCACTCTAAGATTGTAATAAATGGTAAACTTGTACAGTGTGTGATAGTAAGAGTAATATGCCGTTTGTTAAGTAATGATATCTGGTAATGATAGCAATAATCAGTCGGATGAAATTAGTAAATGTAAACGAGGTAAACTAAATCGTGGCAATGATGATGATGATGATGAACTTCACTCAATTTCGTAATATTTTTGTGATATCATCAGATCTCCCCTGCAAAGACTTGGCAGTCACCCTATGAAGCCAGCGAAAGATGTTCTCCCACCACCACCATCATCATCTTCGTCATCATCTTGCTCGTCGTCATCATCTACACAGCATCATGACTGTGTCATCTTTAAACTGGGAGCTAATGATGATGATGGTAGTGATGGTGGTGGTGGTCATAATGATGGTGATGGTTTAGGTGTGGTTTTGAAGAGTGGGCTGAGCGAGTTGGTTGTCCCTGGTCATGTAAGTTCCAACATTTTTTGAAAATTTCCAATTACTATTTTCTAGCTAATTTAGTCGATTTTGTTTAGGAGTATTTGTTATCTTTTTATTCACGAGGACGTTGTAATGTAATTGTAAAATAATCAATTAATTATATTTATATAGCGCACATTTCTAAGATTCAATGACGTGCAAAGCCAAATTAGCAAAGTAGTGTTTCCAACTAGTTAAATAATAATAATAATAATTGATCGTTTTTTTTCTCAACTAATTTTTTAAATTCTTCTCAGTTTTCCACCTCAGGAACGTACCAGGCTACTCACATAGTCATGAGGATGAATAGAAAAATTGAATTTATTCAATCACTCAATCATTTTAATTCCATCATCTGTGTCCATTCAAAGGCTATTCAATCCAGCATAACGCTATTCAATAGTTTGTTTATTTTTTTTAAATTTCTGAAATGTGGTTTAGTGTGTACGCACGCACAATACACTGTTCAAAAGCTAACGCGTTTATTTGATGCATTATTTTATAATTTTTGTTAAACCGTTGTTTTCTATTATATAGGGCTGCCAATTTATAGGTTAATTTGAGAATACTTTGAATTTTTTCGTTTTTAGAAATTAATATATTGGTAATTTTGGTATAAATTAATCAAATTTTTAATTTTGCAACAATGCATAAGTTTCAAATTTTCACTGAAGACGAAATGATGGCGGGATTCAAGCAGAAAATAAAACTGACCATCCAATCGGAGGCTGAAGCACCCAGCAGTGGTCTGAAGAACGCTGGAATGCTTCAGTTTGTAAGACTCTTGCTTCCATCCCAACTGCTTCTCGTGAATGGCGACGAAGATGATGGCGATGGTGAACTAGCTTGGATCAAGGATGCAGATGATAGAGCTGCTGATGGTCACCATTCAACGACACCGACTAAAACTTCAATTGAATCATTTTCGTCTTACAAGCTGAGTGGTCAGGGTCGTTCCGCGCTGGTCAGATCTGGTTCATGTGTGATGTCCATTCTATGTCCTGTCGATCATTGGATGGATAGCCAAACACTCACTCACAAGGTTTGTTCACATCTATTCGAACATCTCTATTTTGGTTTCGTTTTTTAGATTTTATTGTGAAAACAATAATATTCTCAATTTGTTGATATCATATGGAAGTTTTTTTTTAAATGACAGATGGTTATAAGATGTGCTGACTACAATGATGATGTTCATGAGCTGACATTTAGGAACCCATTCAAGATAACTCATCAGATATTGACAGCTGTCCAAAAGTTTGTTTCTTTGCTTTCTGTGATGTGATTTCTTTTGCGTTGTTACGGTGTATTATGTTTGTATATATAATAATAATTTTATTATTTATTGAAGTTTTGTTTGTATGTGTTTGTGCCTGTGCAATTCTTAATGGGAATAGAAATGCTTTAATAAGTTTATATTCTTTAGGAAATATCTGAAAGTCGTCGTTCAGTCTCAACACAGAGATGCAATTGAACTCTGGAATTGGAAGGTGATTGATTCCAAGGACAATGAGTCAAACAATCTACCAACCAACCAATCAAACAATCCGCCAGCCAACCAATCAAACAATCTCTCTACTAGCCAATCAGTCAATCAAACAGCTTTCCAACCACTGAATGGATGTTCTACCTCAAACAAACTGGTATTTAGCATGGGTTTTTAATTTTCATCGATTTCGTAAAGTTATAATTCAAATTAAATCGAAATAATTTTTTAAAGTATCCTTATGAGATAACTTTTTGTAGAATTTCTAATTCTAACATCCATTTTATTATTACTTTAGAAATGTGTTTGTTTGATAAGTTATATTCAATGTGTGCATTCGCTACCAATAACATTGAATATATATTTTTAGTCTAGTTACATTAAAATTATGAATTTATAATTAATTAAAATTATGCATCGACAGATTGTTCTGCCAGGAAAGTTTGTAAATCTCGTGTGGTTATTGAGTGATGAAGTTGTTAGATCTACGTGCCATAAAATATCAACATTCATCTTCTCAGCTGACTACAAACAGTCGTCGTCATCTCCATCGGTGATATCATCATTGAGATCTGATAAGGAAAGTCATCATGCATCATTATCGCTCACCTACTCATTCCAACTCGCCGATATCACGGTATTTTAAAAATAATGATATACAACTAATTCTGGAATATTTTTTTAAATATTTTGTTTTGTTTAATTTTCACAATTTTCTGAATTTTTCTTATTGCAGTGCGATAAATATGATTAAGTAGCATATGATGGTGCCTGGTTATTATTATTATTATTTTAAACTGCATTACAATCATTTGGTGATATGACAGACACATTACATAACGAGCATGAACCTGGAGAAAGATGATGCGATAGTTAATCAGTGGCTGAGTCTGCAGCTTATCATCAAACAGCTGACGTATGATCACCATGATAATGATATCGGTGATAACCATAACATTTATCCCCATCATCATCGTGGTGATCATCATCTTCATTATGCGGTCACGTGTTCAGATGATGATAACGATGGTATTAACAATACCCCCTCCTGGGCACTATCTGGTGAAATTAAAGGTTAATGTTAATTAATTAATTAAATATTCTCACTATTTAGCAGCAAGACGGTGAACTAGTTGAGGCATCTGGTCCTGTTGCTGCAGTTAATGAATTTTAGTGTAAATAGATCCCATTTATCACATGCAATGTGTGTGATACCTGGATTCAAGTGTATTAAAAAATTTTTTGGTTTTTCTTTGGTTTAACGTCATCATGCTTAACCACATAGAGTTGTCATGAAGTTTCAATAGTTGGACTCGTTCCTTTACTTGACGTATATTCACATCATTGTTGTTTCATTTCCATTCATCCGATATCTACATATTTGTCAGTTATGGTGTTTAAGATATTTTAACGCGAACAATTACCATTAAAATAGTGTAGAAATGATTTGTGTAAAGATGTATTTCTGATTGCAATTTATGTAGGATTTTTTCACTTTCAAAGGTTTGGTTGATTTCCAGGCTGGGAAGTTTGAGGTGAGCATGCTGTGCAAGCCACTAAAGGACGAAATATTAAAGATTCCAAAAGTTTTGTTATTTCACTGCCACTCCGAGCACAAACGTCAGAATAAACTACGTTAGTTAACATACCTTTGCTCTCTTTTCCTTGAACGTACCCATGTAAATATTATTTCCATACCAAGAAATTAATTCACTCATACGATGTGTTCGTTAGCTTCAACTGCATCCGATAGAATATTTAAGATGACGTTCCAAATATTGCTCGCTTGCCGTCAATCATCACCTAGATTTTTTCAAATTGTTTTGTAGAATAACCAATTATTAATTTCACAATTTAGAACTTCATGAAAAGATCAGCCTGTCCGAAGATAATGAAGCCGAAACAGATAATGATGACGATGAGGTTGACGACAGCAATTCATTCGATGCCGATATAAACGACGATGACGACGAGAATACTAGCGGCGATTTCAACAGCAATCCACTGAACGACAGGACGCGCATTAGGAAATCTCAGACGACTCTCGTAGACCCCGTCAAAGTTTACAATGCTTCAAAATGCGAGACCATTCAGGTCAAATCATTCAACAAACCTCAGATATTCATCATTGATAGATTCCGATCGGAGATGACTGCGAGCGAATCTTGTAACACTTATTTGTAAATAAGCATGAAAGTGTTTGACCGACTGATCGTAATTAATGTCCGCCATCATATAAAGAGACGTGAATTTTTTATTTATAATGTTTATCCGCTATGATCTGGCGATGAAGAAATTTTTTAAAACTTGATTTCAAGCGCATTGGTTGTTAACAGTTTTTGTTTATTATGTTGTTCCAGTTCGTGTCTCTTGTTTCATGTGCGGTATATGTTTTATGAAAATTTTTCTAACGGTCTTCTTTGTGTTTTTGTTTTGCATACATTTAAATAGACAAATTAAAACTTGAAACATTCCTGACATGCGTTTATATTTCAAATTGAAAGTACAATAAATTGAGTGTTTTAATAAATTTATATATACAATTCAATTTTATTGATAAATTAATCATAAAATAAAGTGTAAACATTTGGAATATATAAGTATATAAATATATGTACATAAATAAATTTTTCAATAAGTAGAACTAAACCAATAAAAAGAATGAAAGAATGTTTTAAAGGGGAGTCAAATTAATAATAGTAATTGCAAACAGTTGTTTGAAAATTGTATAATGTCGAAACGCTGTGCAACTAAAAATATCCCAGATCGATGGATGTTATTAGCGTGTGAGGATAGTTAAATTGTTGTCCAATCTGCAAAAGAAGACTTTAGTGTCAAAACTATCATTGTGCATGATCACAATGGCGTTAGTGGGATTCCACTTGATTACGAAAGAATTTAATTTGTTGACCAATCGTGGATTCTAAATTTTCCGGTCAAATATCTCACACGTAAATCCTGCTTCCGCCACTAGCAAATGTTATTTATTCAAATGAATGTAAAGTATGAAAAACGCATCAATCAAATTTAACACATAACATCGTGGTCCTCACAATTTTGATAAAGATCCAACCAGCTTATGAAATCAGCTGAAAGGGCAAGAAAATTCCATATAGGCCGTCATCGCTTTCGCTCCAACGGATCAATTATTAAATAAAATCAGAAAAAACGTATACATCTAATATACATACATGTAAATAGATATATTAAACAAGTTACTAAACACCTTCGAAAAATTCAAATTCATTTTTTTTACTGAGGCCGGTATGTCCTAATTTTCCACTACAATTCAACGGTTATTCACTGCTGAATTATCTAACCAGTGACTTGAATGAATAGCCTACAATAAAAATATATAAATATGAATAGGCAATATCGCTATACGTACTTATATATGTGTGTTGTGTGAGTAGTGTGCATATGCGTACGCGCACCTTTCTGCATAATAACGGCTTAAGTACATTGACCACAACTCAACGCAATCAGCCTATAACTGGCGTACGTATGTATGTATATATATTGTATGTATATGTGTATATATTGTATGTATATGCATATATGTATATATATTGTATGTATATGTATATATAAATGAATACATACATATGCCTATAATATGTTTATTTTACGTGTCAAAATATACATATATGCAGTGTACCATCACCATAATAATAATAATAATAATACAAACGCGAACAACAATTTAGAACGATGACCTATTTAAATACTGCGTAAAAATGAACTAACTGAACTTGCGTCTGGGACAAATTTCAATGTTAATATATTAGAAAATTTTCACATGCATATAATCATATATATATATATTGTACATACACATATAAGTGAATTATGCTGTAAATATAAATATACAGTATCATATACGTATATAATTTTTAATATTTTTTTAAACGTATGCAATCAATAAAAAATAAAATTACAAAAAAATATAGTGGGATGAGAAGCAAGGCATTTAGTATATATCGTGCTACTATACTCATCTAATGCATGTTTTAATGTATGAATGAACATACGGGTATATTCGTGTTTATATAATTCAAAATAAGTAATTATACATAAGGATTTATATATAGTGGGATGTATATATGTATGTATATATGTATATATATATATATATATATATATACATACATATATATATATATATATATATATATTGGAAGTAGACAATATTTTATCCAGTATTGTATGAATTCTACCGAATTGTTGACATTAGTCATTTTAAAGTGTTTTTTCAATTTTCTTTACTAGAGTTTTCTGGAAATTGTTCAATTTATTGAAAATAGAATTATTATCCAAGTTCATTATGAAAATTTAATGAATTTTTGTATTGATTGACTTGCATTTCCAAAATAAAGTAGTCAACTAACTAACTAACCAGCTAATCAGTTACGATAAAAGCTAATCTAAAAAACTGTATGGATGGGAATGAAACATAAATAGAGATTGGTTGAAATAAATATGAAAAAAACAAACAAAATAAAACCGTGTAAAGTGCTTTAGTGGAAAAAATTTTAAACCCAATTTAATCGTTGTAAATGAAAATTATCTGAAGCAAAAATATAAATGAAAAAATTGACGTATGTAATACGTATAATAAAGGTTACTCGAATGATTAATATAATCGAACGTGTTTTTAAATATTCGTTTAAATATATGCTATACAAATACAACAAATTAAACAAGACAAAAATGTGAATGGTAAATAAAAGTTGTTGAAAATTGATTAATATTATTTAAACTAAAAAATGGAACGAACAAATCACACGACTTGGAGAGATAAGCATCTATTTTATAATTTGAGATAACTGAAGAACAATTTATTTGAAGGAATTAAAAATATTGTAAAAAATTATTTTAATATAATAATAAAAAAACTGCCTATTAAACAGTACTTTGCAATGGAAGGAACCATGGACCAATGTTTTTCTTCATCTGAATGCCCATTATTTATGTTGTTGCATTATCAAAACACTTTAATACAATCGTTATACAGAACATACAATGACACAATATTGACAAATCCTAATATTTACAAATAGGCTTTGGCATTAGCAATATACGTAACTCGAAGAAATTCTTCCAACGCATATAACAAACAATGATGATAGACTAATTTTTTAACGTACGTTTGTCGTTAATTCTTTTAAAACCTCTCAATAATATGTATACTTAATGAATATACGAATATTATACATATATATATGTGTGTGTGTGTGTGTGTGTGTGTTTATATAATTATGGAACACTTTATGTTATCAAATGGAATTAAAAAGGCGCCTACCAGCCTTGATCATCGTAGCTATGCATGTAGATAGTGCGTTCAAAAATATCATTATTAATAATATGAACAATAACAATGATATAAATAACAGAATCGATGGTGATCATTACAATTTCTTTGCAAAAATAAAAAGAGTTCCTTGGGATATGTGACAGATGATGTGAAGAATAAAATTCGTAACTTGTTCACTAGTTTGATCGCACACACAAGCACGAAAACGGAGGTATAACACGCGCAGACACGCGCACAGAAACATACGCACACAAGCAAACAAATAAGTTCAATGTACACAAGGTTCAGAGGGATCGACGTTTATCAAAAATCTGACACACACAAACATCGTCAAAAGTTAGGGATAATTTAATGAAGATAGCATAAGTGAGTGAGATCATTAGCTCACTAACGAAAAAACAAACCGGAGGCACATACATTCACAGGCACGTACACTCGACCACACACACAAAACAAAATTTCCTTCGGAATATACATACATGCATATATGGCTAACATTTAAGAAGCAGTTATTTGATGAAAAGTTCTCTGTAGTATGATATTAAAAGAACCGTGCAGGAGTTGATCTGACTGATGCTGGCGAGGGAGGCCTGGTTCTTTGACCAGATGAGGTTTGGACCAAACACTATGGCCAGGTTGTATTCGTTCATCTTGTTTCTGCCACTTTCTGCCGATACCTTACAAAAAAGAATAGCAACGACATATAAAATGTCAAAATAAACATCACACACATCAACATCACCGTTATATGATTTTCTGAAAAAACATTTTTTCACTTATTTTCTTCCGAAACATTATAGTCAATGCAGCCACTAGACCTCTCACTCTTCCTTTCAACATCTCTCTGACCACATAATCTTCCATCTTCAACAATGTTCTTTTGCATACCAAACTCTGCATTGTTGCTTTTTATAATAGGCCTGAGAAGGACGAAACTTAACTACGATCTCTTTTTCAAACAAACATAAAATTTTATCTAAAGCTCTACTGATACATTCATGAATCTTCCAAACTTGAACATACAAGCTTGAACTTGTTGAAGTATTTCATGTGTAGCAGGACATTCAAAAATGATAATATCTCACTGTAAAGCTTATTAAAAAATATTTGATAACAATTAGCATGACTTTAACTTATTTAAAAGTAAACACTGAAAACCAGGCCAACACTAAAATGATTACTTCCTCTCATTTTAAGAGATCATAGAATTGTTTTAATTACAATGAATGTAAATAAATCGATTTATTAATGAAAAACAAATTCAAAAAAGGCGCACTTCAGTTAGGAAGCTGATGATGTACTTGAGAATGTAGTAGTTGTCTTCAACCAATTCCTCCACCAGAATTCTTCGCATCTCTTTCAATCTTTCTTCAAATTCAAGAGCTACATTTATGTAAAAAAAAGTCTGTAAATTCTACTTATTGTTGCATTAATTTATGGCTCTTGCATTAAATTCAATAATAATTTCATGAAGAAAGTGCAAAGCTATGATAAGGTTAGTAACAGGAACACTTGAGTAGGCTAATGTTACTAAAAGGCATATTTGAAGTTAGGTAAATGCGATGATAAAATAAAATATCCAGATTTAGATCAGTGAATTATATAAAACATATGTATAAAAAATGTAAAATAATATTGAAAAGCAAAAATATAAACAGTATAAGCAAAACAAAACCACCACAATAAAAATTTGAACGGGGAAACAAAACGACAACAACAACAAAGACAACAAAGATGGTAAGAAAAGATCTCATACATTGAACTTTGATGATGTGGTCGTAGAGTTCGTAGGTAAGTAGAGGTTCTGGAAGCTGTCTGAGGAAACTTTTCAAGATGGCAGCTGGAAGGTGAATGTCGTATGTGCTGAAGTCAACCTCCTTACCTGTTATAATATTAATCATGACATATTGCACACGTCTTTAATGTCATTGTTGCTAACATTTTCAACTTGTAAAGCCAATTCAACGAATTTTCAAAAGTTCATTAGTTTAAAATATCTTTAAACAATTTGCAGACACAAATTTTCAAGAGTTTACATCTATATTGAAATGCTGATCATAAATAAACATGAATTCATGTCAATAAAAGATCCATTCCTCCCGTGAGAACAACTTTCAGTGAGCAAATGTTAGCAGCTAACCTTCATTGAATGTCTTCTGAACCAACTTGAGTTCCAATGCATTGGCTGATCTTCTGAAGAGACCCTCCGTGTGCAATCCTTTGTTTGAATGCAATTTTTAAAATCATTACAGCTACTTAAATCGTTACATTCGTTAAATTCTCAAGATATTTAAATGTTATGGACTATTCCTGACAATTAGAAACCATTGTGTGAATAATAACAAGAAAACTTTTGTTAAAATAAAAAAAACAATTTAATAAAATATAATTTGATTGTGAAAAATTATAAAATAATATTCCTATAAAGAATTGAATGATACATTGAACAAACCAACAAACCATGTTCCCTGAGGTATTCAACACATTGACTGACTACAGTTGGAATGATGGAGCCATTATTGTGGCTCTTTATGCTAGTTGAGTGGTTAGTTGGTTAGTCAGTTGGTTGTTCAATTGAAACGAATCGATCAATTGAAGAAAAATATTTGCCAAAAACAGAAACAGTTCAAAAATTTAATATATTTTTCAATTGAATTAGTTTAAAACAAAATGGAATAAATGAAAAAGAGAACTGACTATGCAAGTTCAACCCCAAACTGTTGCTTGGGCAGAGGTGCATGCACAATGCTTGTAGGTACAGGCTTTGGTTTGTTCTTGGCCAACAAGAATGCATCGTAGCTGTCAACATTAGAAAGGATGTGCTAATTAGTAGATTAGTAAAAATTATTTCTGGAAATTAACTAATTATACTGCAATAAAATATATAAACATTTGAAATAAATTCGACTCCAAAATAATGATATTATTTCTTTGAATTTTATATTTTATACATAAAAAATAAATATATAACTTGTGTTAAAAAATTATAAGGAAAAGAAAAAAACAAGACAAATGATAAATAAAGACCAAACGATAACAAGATGATGGATCCAAAGTAAGAATAATAATGAATTGTTTTTAATAACACGAGCAAAAAGTGAATTTGAATAATACTTACTCTCTGACTCTGTGTGGAATGACCAGTTGGTCCAGTTGAAGCTGTTGGGCAAGTTCATGCAAATAGTTGATGTAGCTCACCTTACGTCCAAACTTTGCACTTGATGAGGTTGACAACAAAAATTATTAGCACTGTGATAACCACCAATCATTGAGATCGGTAAAAAGTTTTAAAAAAGAGCTTAAAAAAACTGATGATGATGATGAATGATCAAAGCTGCCCACCAAGAATGAAATATTTGAATGATTAAACCGTCAAATACTGGCACTTACCTAATGATAGGGCGAAAGATGTTCCATAAAAATTTTATGAAGTTCGTCGGATGGACGAGGTACAAAGCTTTCAGATTCTTTTTGTACCTGTAAAAATAAAAATACTAGTCACATACAATAACCGGGAATTAATAATCATCAAAGAAAATCATAATAATATACCATATTTAGATGCTACAGAATCATTAATAACGGATATGATGACCAACTTTCTATCAAACTCGGAGTAGGCCTGCCTAAGCCAGGCAAATGACGGTTTGTTCTGGCTGTTGAGTCCGTAGTGGAAGTAGACGACCGTGTAGTCACTCTCGACGTACTGATCCAACAAGTGCTTCAAGTATCTGCAGGCGTGGTGGGCGGGCGTGAGAGTGGAAAATTACCATAATTATAGCATAAATAATAATAATATTATTATTGTTATTGTTGTTATTGTAGTCATAATTGTTATTTTAAATATATAGTAAAGTAATAAATTAGATTGAGAGTTTTAAAATGTAAGGTGAAGATGGTTGCTCTAGTAGTGATGTTTATATGCAAGCCATAGAACAATAAGCATTTATGAAACTAACGATCATCCTTATATAATAAGATTGTTATAGTAGGGTGATAATTAATTACTAATCTAATTACTGCTAATTATTGTAATGAATTTAATCTTGGTCAAATTATCACAAAAATGTTATCATAGCTATGATAACATTTTTGTGCCCACTTCTTAATTATATGCATCCCCTCCCCTCACATCACATCATTACCATCATCACCACCAGAACTATTTTCATTGTAATTACCATCAGTGCAATTATCATCATCACCACTAGCATCATCGTCATCATCTTCGTCATCATCACCACATTGACGTCATTATTCATTATCATAATCGCTGTCGTTGCTATTGTCATCATCATCATCATTATCACAACAGTCCTTATCATCATCATCTCAAATACATCATCATCACCAAACCATCACCGTCATCCTCCTCCTACTTACTTCATGAACTTCTGGTGATCAAGTTCTTCTCTGGGGGGCAGACGACAAGCAGACACCACGATGACTTTCCTACCAAAAGCGTCGTCACCTGACATCAACATCATCATCACTATTATAATCCACACCAATGTTATCATCATCATCATCATCATCATCATCGTCATCATCATCATCATCATCATCATCATCATCCTAACTATCCCCATCACTACAAACATCATCGTCATTCGTCGTTATCATTGTTAATCATCATCATCGTTGTTATTAAATTAATTTATTCACAGAGTAAATGATTATTTTATCAAATAATAAATAACATCTACCAGCAAGTTGAATGATTCCAAACTTTGCAATATCTCTGAACTGAAGCTCCGGATCATTTTCATCTTCCTGGCAGGCAAAAATTTTTAAAATAAATAACAAAACTCTTTTTTTTAACAATTAAATGTTCTTTGTTGATTTCAAAGTTTGGAAACACTGAACAAAAAATTTTAAAAAGTATTAATCTATGTTGAAACTCAGATTTCAGCAGCTGAAAAATGAGATTAAAAAATTAGGACACCAGCGGCTTACTGGCAAACAAAAAACCCAACTACCTCACCTCATTTGGTGATCCAAGTTCAGCTTCAAAGTCCTCATCAATGAGCCCCTCTGGAGTCATGGCCCCTGTTCTTTGGAATGGTTGGTCCAACTCTTCCCTGGCAAGTTCTAACAACATATGTTGATGTAATATAATCTAGCAACATGTTATCATCCTATTTCGTTCATTATGTTTATATTAATGAAGAATATTTTTTTAAATATATTATGAGCTATAATTGTGAATAAAAAAATGTTAAGTAAAAATATTGATGTCTTGTGGGTGTCATAAACTTTCTTCTTTTACATGTTTTAATTACACAAAAGAAAAGATAAGGTTGAATAAACTCAAATCAACATAAAATATGAAACCTCTGCCTACCTAATTTCTTTCTGAAACCAGAATAAACAGGTGGAAAGAATTATTGGTAAGAAAAATTTATTTAAAAAGAAACAAGACAAATTGTAATAGACTAATTAGAAGTTTAAATGCCTATACATACATGTAAAAAATTTGTTCTTATGTAAGTTCACCATATATTTCAGCATCAATTTTAGGTTTTTGCTGTTAATTTTAACTTGAAAAACATTTATATAGACATCAATAATGATGAAATGTTATGAAATCATAAACATAATATTAATCAAGACATGAAAAACTCAGCAGATGATAAAAAACCATCAACCAAATAAACTCAACAAATCCAGTGTGAATAAAGAAATTATTCCCACACCACGCTGTATTGAGCTATATTGATAGAATAAATAAATCACAAAAATAAAAAAAATAAATAAAAAAATAAAATTAAATAAATAAATAAATATTAACATAATTATTGGAATGACTAAACAGCAGAAAACAAATTATGATGATATGTTCAAGAACTGCAGTTCACAGTGCACACAAAGTAAGCAACTGTGTGATTTAAGCAGTGGACAGAGTGCAGTACCCCTACATCCTGGACTGAATATATAATTTGCAATAATATCATTATTATTTTTGCAGTTGTTTTTATTATTATTGTTGTTGTTATTGATATTAAGACCAAACCATACAGACAATGATGAGTCATGTATGTCATGTGAGTGTTTACAAATAAAAGCCCAGTTAAATCTATATTAATTGATAAATGTGTGCGTAAATGTGTATGTGAGTGTGTGTGCCCGTGTAAATAGGTATGTGTAAATAGCATAAATAAATCTAAAAAAGACAGACATGTAATGTAAGGAAAAAAATAAAACGAGCATAACCTACAGTATAAGTAAATATGACAAATTAACAACAACAACAAAAAAAACAGGTGAAAATGAAATAGAACTTCCACCATTTGATGCGTTTGAAAACAATTTAAAAACATCCAGAAAAACGTATAGATACTTTCATAAATACCTTCTTCAGCTTCTAAATCTAACTCTATTTCCACAGTAATTAAATTATATATTTTTTATTTTAATTTAATAATAAAAATAAATAATAATAAAAATTATAATTATATTATTAATTATAATATTAATATAATTAATAATTAATTAATTAATATAATTATTAATTATATTAATAATTATAATCAGAATAAAAAAATTATAATTTAAACAATTTATCTTAATGAACACAAACTTGACTATTGATGCTTAAAGTCTATACAAATAAGTTCCTTACTGATGTAAAATCTAAAGTGTAAATAAACTTTCTAAAATTATAAGATGAAGAACAAACTATTGAATTTTATTTCATTTTATTTAGTTGAGCAACAAATTCAAATGATTCATTACATTATATAAAGTTATATGTACCTAACAAACACTTCTAACCAACACAAACTGAAATGATTCATTACATTATATAAAATTTTATGTCTAATAAACATTCCCAATCATGAAGAAATAACAAAACGATGATGAATTAACATTACAAACAGAAAGTTATTATAATGTAGTTTATGAGAGCATGTAATACATTTTTCAGTGATTACATTTCAAAGTTGTGAACAGTCAGTCACAATGATAAAATAGAAGTACCTTCAGTAGAAGCCAAATTGACTCCAGAGAGATCGAACTCCAGCCCATCACTGTTATCTTCCTCCCCACTGACGTCTCCGTTGTTCGAGGATAGTACACTGTCCCTCCTTTGCACTTCTGCTCAGAATTGCAATCATTGTTAATGTTTGTTTCATTGAAATTTTAGATGTGACTTGCCATGAAAATTGAAATTACAATAAAGATATTCTTTATCACAACTCTTCCGATCACTAGAGCCAAACATCACCAAACTATCAGAATGTATCACTCAATTATTTCTAACTCATCAACTTATACTCAGAGGTCATTGTTATCAAGCTCTATATTAATTTCTCTTTTTTTGTGATCTTATAACCGAGTAAATTATTCCAACTCTGACCTAACATAGTTGATGTAACGTTGATGTAAACCTACGCTTTCTATTTAGATACAACCATGTAGTCACTTTTTTCACCAACCCCAATTTTATATACAAAACCATTAGAGAAATTGAAAATTAATGATCTTAAGACTAATTATTTTCAATTTTCAACTAATGCATTTCACTTTTTCTAAATTACTCTTGGAGGCATGTCACCACTATCATGTAAACAGCTTTTATGTGAATTTAAAACTATTTAGCTTCCCTGCATGTTCCAGAATCATAAATTTATTTTCTGACAAATTTTGAAGTAATTTTAGTAAATAAGGTTATGTTATATTGAGCATTAAAATTTAAACCCCCTCTCATAGTCTCACCTCTATAAATACATATTCAAGAAAAGTGGTTCAATGCAATTTCTAAGTTTATAATTAACAAAAGCACACACATACCCAACAAAACTTACTAGGAGCAGAAGAATAAAATCAATATATCAATATGTCAGCATGTTTCAAATTGTTTGCTCAATAACAAATATAATTGTGGGTTAAACAACTGCTTCACAATTGAGCTAAGTGATTAACAATCATCTTATATATTATGCCTATTTCTTCATTATAATTTCTTACAGCAGGTTTTATATTTTTTTACATTTTACATTTTTTTTCTTCAAATAATACAGAAAAATATCTGTCAGTTTTTGTTTATTTGTTTATAAAATTTGTTGAATATTCTTTTTTAAAAAGCTTAAAATTTATTTTCATTAAACTACTTGTGTAATTGATATATCAGAGATAAGTTACAAAGTTACAAATACATACCAACAAGTAGCTGAACTTTTGACAAAAATTGTGCAAAATGTCAGTTTATTCATTCTTATGAAAAAGGATGGTAATGAGAAAATGATTGTTGGCAAAACACAATATCTTCCATATCAAATATAGCTTAACATAGATTTATTTTTTGTTTTCAATTGTGCAGCTTCAACTAGCATCTGTTGAAAATTTCTGTAACAGATACCACAAAACATGCACATTACAGAACACACCTCTCATTCTTTGCAAAGGAAATCACAGGCACCATAATACTTTCATATGCCGTATGATAGCCTCAGGTCTAAGGGATCAAGTAATGACAACATTAACATGATACTCATGCTACCAGGGTTAACTAAGACAAATGTACATTTACAATTGCTACAGTTTAAAATCATTGTTGTTGTTGCTGTTGTTGTTGTTGTTGTCGTTGTGGCTGTTGTTCATCTTTTCAATATTTTTCATGTCACCAATTTTGTTTTAAACTGTCATTTCTAATAAAATTACATATGAAATAAATTTAACATAATTTGAAAAATGTCTAATTTTTAAAACAAGATGATATAAATATAACCTGTTAATAAAAAAACCTTTATAAAATCATATGACAAAAATCTGTGTTTTAAAATTATAGTAGTAATATCAAAAATTAATACCGAAATCGAATATGCTTCTCTGACTTAAAACTAAAGTAAAAGAAGAAAATAATTCTATCTGGCAAGCCAGGACAAATTTTCTAGAAAAAAAATAAAGGGTTCAGCTTCTTAGACTCTTACATCATTAGAAAAGGAGTGTGGAGAGGATAGTTAGATGGTAGATTTTAAAACTCAGTTAATTAACTCTTTTAATCAAGATTAGCTTTTTAGTTTGTATTCCATGAAGCAAAATAAAATGAAAAATAATATTAGTAATTAATAATTAATTAATATTAATTTTTATAACTTATGTGTTATTTGTACTTTACTTACTCACCAGTCCCCAGCACTAACCTACTAACCAACCAGTAACCATCTACATTATAAAAACATTTCAATTTTGATAATTTAATTAAAAGAGTTAGTAAGATAGTAAATAAGTGAAGATAAAAAGACCTGCTATCAGGGCGCCATCTTGTTCTTGCTTCTTACCTTCATCGTATAATAAATGGTTGACTTTGTCAGCGATATTGTCTTGATTTACCAGGGGATGCTTTTTATCACTATCTGCTCCTTCTACGTATAAATTATCTTTCTCCATTTTTATTTTTAAAAAATATTTAAATACAAATTTAGAATATAGTTATCGAAAGCATTCAGTTCAGTTACTGAATTTTTCACGAACAAGCGATACTTATTAGCTTACTTATTTATTTATTATATTTTCTAATCTTGAATCTAATAAATCGAAAAATAGGACGCGTTTTGACTATCAGGCGATGCCTTTGCTGTTTAACAATTAAAGGTAAAGATGAACTAATGAGACAAAACCACACAAAACAAAATTATTTCATTAATTCATTAATTCATTTTTGTCAATTTAAACATTTATATGCATTACTGTTTTATTTAATAAATTGTTAAATGCAATAACTCTATAATTCAAAGTTTTTACAGCCATATACATAGGAAATCGTTGTGAGGACACACACTAGTAAAAAATTTACTATGAATAAATTTGATACGACATAAAATACATTTTATGAAAAATGGTTCTAATTTTGTTATATAAAACTTTTCTATCTTGAAATAATTGGTAATCTTCTACATTTCCTCGATGAATAATATCAATCATAGACTTAGAACAAATCTTAAAGTGGCAAGATTTAACTTTTCCATTCGAATACTTTTCCATTACCCAGACCAACTTGACGTCTTGTGCTGTGAGCATGGATATATATCCATGGCTGTGAGTTCATTACTTCATTTCACTATTTAAAATGTACTTTTGTCATTTTAAGTTGTAACAAAAAAGTTTCAAACCTCCCGTCAAAATATTTAGCTGAGAGGAAATCAATGACGTCAAATTTTATTGATTGATCTCACTATCATTATTTAATTTCCAATTTAAAATCCATATTGAATAAAACTAAAAGTGGACCTACATTTCCTTCTATTTTGTTTCTAGTTTGCCGTTCGTCTGATGAGGTTTTGTTCATTTAATTTTAATTAATTTTAGTATAAATAAAAAATGTTTCACAGAGCTTTTTTTAGCAATTTGCGTAAATTTGACGCCTATCCTAAAACATTAGATGATTTCCGCATTAAGACATGTGCAGGAGCTGCAAGTATAAAATTTAAATTTTCAATATTTTTTATTAAAAAAAACTCATTTTATTCAAATATATATGAATAAATAATTTATTACCTGAACTAATTTTTTAAAAGTATTATTTTTCAAATAATTGAATAATCACATTAAATATATGATTTTTAAATTATAATTTTATTATTGTAACTAAATTAGTTATTAGTAACTATCAATAATTTTATCACATATTCTTACTTACTTAGCTACTAATAATTTACTGTTCCTAATTGATTATAATGAAAATTGATAATGGATTTTGTTATCAAAATTAAAATATAAAATATATCTATCCTTTCTCTTCTTAATTGACAGCTTATTTTTTTATGAAATTGAGAAATTATATAAAAAAATTTTTCTATAGAACTTTCAATGGTTGATTCTTAAATAATAAATAATTCTATACTGATTTGTTTATTTTAGTTACAATTATAAGTGGAGTGATCATGACATTGTTGTTCTGGAGTGAGTTTATCTTCTTCATGACAAATGAGATTCAGCCAGAACTGTTCGTTGATGTGTCAAAGGGACAAAAGTTGAAAATTAACTTGAACATCACCTTTCATCACATTGGATGCTCATGTATGTTTCTGCTGAAGTTAACATAATTGGTCAATAAAACATCAATGTTCAAAATATTGAAAAATTTTAAGATCCTAAAGCGTAAATAATTGCAACATTCATAATGCATTATTTTTTAGTTATATATAAATAACCATTTCTTGAAGTTTGTAAAAAATGTCTTGTTAAGAAAACAATAATGTTAATAGTAGTAGTAAAGGTAAACTATGTATTATTGAGTTTTTTGTAAACAATTGAAAGTTCTGACGATTGATGCAATGGACGTTTCCGGGGAGCAACAAATTGATGTCGACCACAACATCTACAAGTTGAGGATTGACAACAAGGGCTTTTTCATTGATGACTCTCCTCAAAAAGAAGGTCTCAATCATTCCTGGTTTCATTTCCTCATTCGTACCCATAGTGAATTTTTAAGCAGAGTTGTAAAATTTTATATACATATTTTATAATCTCCTTTTTTTATGAAATGCTAATTTTAATGGGTGTTAGTTTTATAAAAGTAATAAAATTGCTTTATATTTTGCTCTCTTTGTTACATTTTGTTTTTTATTTTGTTCAAGTTATTGTTCAAGTTATTGTTCTTTATTTTTTCATGTTGAAAATATTTTTATCATTAAATAATATTTAGCACTTTTAAAATATTAATTCTATATTTATATACTGATGTTATGTTTCAATTTTTCTTTTCAAAGTCATCAATGAAAAATCAAAGAACACAGTGAGTGATTTTGAACTATTATTCAGTATTTAATCACCTATCATTTCAACGCTTGCCACAGTATTAAAATTTGTCAAATCATTATTGAAAAATATTATTCCACATATTGTTTTGGTTTTTTTTAATTTTATCTACCTTCTAATTCATAATTATTGATTGATGATTAATAATTAGTGGTAATAATAATAAAAATAATAGTGGTAATAAATATTGAACAGTCATAACTGATTTGCAATAATGAATATGAATGAATGAACAATAATGATCTGAATAGACAGTGTCAACAGTGGCTCCTCTAGACCCAAACAGATGTGAAAGTTGTTATGGAGCTGAAACAGTCGACATCAAGTACCTCAGATCATTTTTGCTCAAATTTTAATTTGCGTTTCATTCAGAATTTTTTTTTAGATAAATAGTTTAACATTTCCTTTTGCCTATACATATAAACGCACGTAGACATACATTCACTAACCTCCCCCCTTCAATCCAGGTGCTGCAACACATGTGATGATGTGAGGGAAGCCTACAGAAGAAGAGGGTGGGCTTTTTCAATTGACCTTGACATTGAACAATGCAAGAGAGACCACATGAAGATAAAGATCAAACAGCAACTCTCTGAAGGATGCATTGTCTTTGGATATCTTGAAGTCAACAAGGCAAGAACCCTAAACTTCCATTTCACTGCATATTTTATTAACAAAGATTTTTTTGTTTTTAGGGTTGATTCAAAAAAAGAATTATTGATGATATAAACAATATTTTATTTATAACTTTAAGCTTTTCTTCATTTTTTTACGTAAAAAGTATTTTACAGCTGCTGATTTTATATTAAAAATTAATGTTAATTGAATGACTTAATGTAGTTTCTCAATGCTTATTACTTTTATTAGGTTTAATTTTCTCAAAACTCATGGCTCAGTATTCCCAGCAGATAATTTTGAAATGGAATTGTTTTTTTGTTATCTTGTTGAATTATTTCATTAGTTGCTAATTTGTTTGAATATAACAAATTCATTTAAATATAACAACACATTCATATTATCATGAGTTTCTCATTAACATATTTATTTCTAAATAATTCGTTTTGGTTGTTCTTTTGTGTTTATTCTACCTTGTCCTCAGTTACTTTAATAAATTGTTTATTGTTACTTACCATGATCTTGATGTTATAATTTGTGAAACCAACACCTGTTTGTCGGCAAGGTGGCAGGGAACTTCCACATGGCTCCAGGTGTCAGCTTCTCACAGAACCACATGCACGGTCAGTTCCATCTTTCTGAATTTATTCATTTTAATTCTCATATTAACAAATTGCAAACAAATTATTCACTTCACATGTTAACAAATTAAATATTCTTTAATGTTCACAACATAGCATTAATTTGGTAACGTTTCAATGACCATATTACAATTGTCTCAGTTTATCATATATCATATGACCAATATTTTAAAATTCTTTGCAGTACATGACATGCAGGCAATTGGAACAACATCTGTAAGTGGTTGTTATTCATTATTTCTAATATATGTACAGAAATCTTTATACAGTCTTTGTTATTATCTTCATGTTTCCGTTTACATTTAAAGGAATTTTATTTTAAATCGTTTTTGTTTTTATAGATTGAAATATATATTTATATTTTTGAATAAAACAGATGTAATATATTTTTAGGAAACTTCAACATTATTATTTCATTGAGTTAAATGTATTTTAATTTAAGTTTTTTTTTAATTTTCATTGAATCACAAATATGTATAATTTATTGTACTACTACTACGACTACTGCTGCTGCTGCTACTTCTACTGCTGCTACTTCTACTGCTGCTACTTTTACTGCTACTATACTATTATTATTATTATAACTACTACTATTACTATTATAGGCGTTAATAAATTAACTTTTGTTTCTAAATCTGAAATAAACATATACTAGGATTCCAAATATTCATCTTATTAATTTCCAATTATTTCAATTTATTTCATTTAATAATTTTTAAAAAAATTTCTCAAAGATTGAATTTATGAAAGAACCTCAAGTAATATATATATATATATATATATATATATATATATATATACATATACATACATATACAATGTGCAACACACACATGTTATACACATTGACAGAATCTCATACATATGCATCAGACCTTGTTTTTATTGATCCAAAAATACTCAGACCTGTATTATTGCATTACAGTGTTACACCTTTTAAATGTTATACGCTTTATATTATATATATATATATATATATATATATATATAATGCATAATGTTTATTTCTTTGAAGAATTCTGTTTTAAATTTTTATTATAATTAATGATTTTGTTATAGAATAATTTGGATAAAATATATTTAATCATTTTTTTGCTAATGCAAATAAATGTATACACTTTGAAGATAAATACATAATATTTACATCAAAATTTAAATTTTTATTATAATTAATGATTTTTTTATAGAATAATTTGGATAAAATATATTTAATCATTTTTCTGCTAATGCAAATAAATGTATACACTTTGAAGATAAATACATAATATTTTTATTATTTATTTTGTTTATAATTATTTTTTTATACATATGTGTAGAATATATATTTATCATTATTAATTCAATCTTTTCTATCTATAGGCTCATTTACTTACAGCTAAATTAGTATTATTGAAATCCACAAATACAGTTTAACACGAGTCACACGGTTAATCACCTTTCATTTGGTGAAGACTACCCAGGCCAAAACAACCCACTAGATGGATCAGTCCTTACTGCTCATCAATGTTAGACTCTTTGTCTTCCTGTTTACATGTTCTTCATTCTATTCTCTTTTTAACTCTGTTTATTTAGTGAATTTTAAAGTTTGCCTGAGTGAATTATTTCTCATTTGTCAACATTTTATTAAATTTTTTAGGCAAGCACATTTTGAAAAAAAAATCAAAATGTCGGATTTTTGAAAAAATGTTGATGAAGGTTTGAAAACAGTTTAAAAAATTGTAGGTTGTAATAAATATTGAGGATAGTGGCATAATATCTTTGTGAGGATTTTTTATTATCCTCTTGAAAGGTGATGGAAATTAAATTCAAAAATCTGTGAGAAGAATTTCAATACTACAATTATAAGATGTATGAATTAATTGTTATAGATTTTGAAATTTTGATAGAGCTGATCATATTATGTTAGGAATGGTTATTGTTACTGACTGAAAGAGTTGACAATTTTTTTCTCAATTTGGAAGCGTGGAAAGGGTTTATTTACATTCTTAAAAAAGTAATTGTTTGATGGAAAAATAATTTTTTTGAAAAGAGTTAAAGGTTTTTATTGAAGGAAGTGAAAAGGCTTCAGTTCAAATTCACTGTGGTGCTACAAAATTAAAGCGAAACCAAAAAATTATCCAAACGTGAAATTGAATTTAGCTGCATCAATTTGCAATGCGCCAATCATACTTGTTTAGATTGGTAGGCTTATTAAATACTAAGGATCCAAGCAGATCAAATTTTAAAAATAAATTTTGTAACGAACGTAACGCATGTGACAGTTTTTTTTCAAATAATAATTTTAAGAACATTCAAATGATTATAAGAATGTGACATTTACTGTTTTTAACTTTTCAACCCATCACCCAGTGTCGACCATGTTTCATTACTATGTGAAAGTTGTCCCAACGACGTATTCCAAACTGAACGGAGAGGTCTGAACGTTTTTTCTATTGTACATCAACATATTTATTTCAATTTATTAACTATTTCGATTTCATCAGCCAAGATATAAATAAATTTTTAAAATCAAGATTTTTCAAACTATGATATGTGTCTGTTTTGAAAGTTATAGAAATGTAATAAATTGAAATAACGTAAACACATTCAGACGATATACACCAACCAATACTCGGTTACGAAGCACACAAAGATTTACACTACTGGCTTCTTTGGTGACTCTGGTCTGCCTGGCATCTTTTTCACCTATGAACTCTCTCCCATGATGGTCAAATACACTGAGAAGCGAAGGTCTTTTTTTCAATCTCTATTGGTCTTACTCGTTATTTTACACTTAATATGTATTAATTATATTTCACTCATTTACACATGCTTTAAATTTAGGGAACTGGGTGGGGTATTGTGTGGAAAGAAATGATCAGTGAAGATGAAAGGGAGGGTATATAAAGCATGTGTGAGAGCAGCGATGGTATATGGTGGTGAAACTTGGGTGTTGAGGAGAGAGGAGGAAAGTGTACTGCAGAGGGCTGAAAGAGCTATGGTGAGGATGATGTGTGGGGTTAAAGTGAAGGATAGGAGGAATAGTACAGAGCTGATGTCAATGATGGGACTGAATGAGGACTTTGTGACATTGATAAGGAGATCGAGATTGCGGTGGTATGGACATGTGTTGAGAAGGGATGAAAGGGTCGGGATTAGGCGAGCGTTGGAGTTCGAGGTTGAAGGAGTGGTAGGAAGGGGTCGTCCGCGATTGGGATGGAGAGAGCAGGTGGAGAAGGACAGGGTGAAAGCGGGGTTGCGTGATACTGAGGCGAGTGACAGATGTGGATGGCGTCGAGGGGTATTTCGGTTTCATCATAGGTAGCCAAACGGCAACCCCCGATCTCGGGGAAAATGTCGTCTAAACGTGTGTTGTTGTTGTTGTTGTTGTTACACATGCTTTAAACGTTATTGACTTACATTTGACTTCATTTTATGATTAATGTTCTCTGTTCCTGGCTTTAACTTTAAATACAATGTATTGAATGAAACAACAATACAAATAACATAATGGAAATTGCATGAAATAATTTACCCAGATCGTTCACTCATTTCTTGACCGGTGTGTGTGCTATCGTTGGCGGTGTTTTTACAGGTAATGTTCTTATTTTCGCCGGTTCAAGATTTATTAATTTGTTTTATGTATGTATTTATTAGCTTCTTTTTTAATTATGCTTGAATGTTGGCATCTTTTTATGAAATAATTCCTTTATTTGTTAAATAAACAAGCATGTTTAATCTTCATTTAATATTCTATACAGTTGCAGGATTGTTTGATTCTCTGCTCTATCATTCCTCAAGAGCCATTCAAAAGAAAATGGAGCTTGGGAAGGCTTCTTAGGAAATTTTTTTACGATTGTTCATTTCGTGGCGTTTTTAAATATAGCTATGAACATAATTTATTTATTGTAATTGTTATGGATTTTACTTATTAACCAAAAAATTGTACAGGGGTGATAGATTTTAACACAAACCTTCGGTACTGGTTATGCTAATAAAAATTTTTTTATAATTTCTAATTTTTAAGTCGTGGGCGTTATTCAATAATATTAGAGAATGTAAATTTGTTAACTCTAACATCTGGTGGGGGCCTGTCATATCGAATGTATAATTGTAAATTTGTCTACCCAAGTTTCAAAATTATTTTTCTGTAATTATTTTATTATTCATCATTTTCCGTGACAATAAATGTGTAAAAAAAATTTTGTTTACTTGAATTTTTATTCTTCCTGTTATTTTTTTACGAAACAGTTAATTGTCACAATTCAAATGATAGCTTCTTACTCATGTTATATATACATATGTATATTTAGACATCAACATATTGTTATCAAAAAAGTTTATAAAGCGCTTGTCCTGGATTGGTTGAGCAATCCTCCAAGATTCTGTCGCTTGCTGACATTTGCCGATCGCTCGTCTAAAGTCTTTTTCTATCTCTGCTATGATGTGCAAGGTGTGATTTCAGGCCACTTTTTTTAGTCTTATGATATCAACAGTTCTACCTTTCTTTATCCAATCACCTGCATCTTTTCTGTCTACCCGACAAATCCATCTCAATGTGACGTAATAAATCCTTGCTAGTGTTAAGAGCGCGGTTTGAGGCTCAAGCCGATGAAGGTCCGATAACGTCAAATGATAAATTAAATGGATGGATGTTGAGCAACTGTCTACGAATATTGAACCAACATAAATCAGCCTTAGCCTATACATAAGTACATGGAAACAATTGTCAAAAATTATCAATGACTCCATGGGGATTCAAAATAAAAAATTCCTATTTTGTGAAAGGTTTACCAACTTTACCAATATGTTTCTGAATTCAAAATTGCATTAGAATTTTTATAAATCGCTCATCATAAATATTCAAGTCAGAGATGGAGATTTAACACGTCGGATTGGTCATCATTTCAATTGTTCAGTTCATCGCTGTTTTGTAATGTACATATCTTTTCATAAATCGAAATCCAAGCAACTAAACACAATAATTGTACAAGAGATTTATATTTCTCAAAATTATTTCCATTAATCAAAAACTAAAGTAAGTTAAATTCTTGATAAAACATATAATAGAAAAAATCACTAAGTAATTAAATGTGTTTAAACATGTTTAAATATAATTGATATACATATCCTCTAAGTTAAACATGTATTTGGGTATGTATGCATGCATATATATATATATATATATATATATATATATATATATATATATCATAAACACACTCATAAACACACTCAAACATATAGTTGATATATATATATATTATATATATATAATAAAAATTAATAGAAATTCTCACCCCTACTTAGATATATATATAACGTGTGTGAATGAATATAACAAAAGCAATCGGAAGCTGTAGAATATTAAATTGACGGTGTGTTTATAATAATTTCAGTTAACTTAACCAATGATGTAAATATGATAAAAAAAATAAAAATAAAATAATTTATTGATTATCAAAAACTTTAACCTTTTAACTAAATAAATAAATACGCAGAATAAAAGCAAATGCGTATATTAAATATTCTTAATCAATGTATTGTATGAAGACGCGTGTATATATATGAGAATATGTATATATGTAATGTATAAAGACGCGTATATATATATATATATATATATATATATATAAACGCGTATTTAATAACTAATTGTTGGAGCGTGCGTGCCTAAGTAAATTTTTACATTTTTTCAATGTTGTCTAAACTTTTTTATTATCATTATCAATAAATAAATTAAATGTACGCCTATAGTTAAGAAAGAAATAAGCAAAATTAACCGATCAAACACGGAAAAATTGATGGAGTTACACTCATAAAACACTGGAAACCACCTATCTTCTGTACATAATGTTCGTAAGATTATTTATTATCTGTTGAATCTGAAATCCCATTGTACAAATGAAATTTCAATAATATCACCATATAAGAAAAGCTACATCTCAACTAAAGAAATGTAAAATGAAATATATTTTTATTTATATATATATAAACATAATATACATACACACACATATATATATGTAACTAAATGAATCACGATTAATCAAATTGTAAGAAATCATTTATTGAATTAGGCACGAAATTTATTAAACACAAAATACTATATACAAATTAACGTTAACATTTATATAGATACATATTTCTTTTCATTCGTTTATTCATTCTATTCATCTATTTAATAATCTATAAATGTACTTACAGCCCAATGTTATTTAATCTAAATTTAACGATAGGTTAGATTAAACGTGTGATGATGAGTTTGTCTGTGTTAGAATTTAACTGTGACATGATACATTCAGCACATATACATGCACATCTGCAGTTTTATATATAAAAAAAAGTACAAATGTGCTTCGATTGTTCGATGAAGAAAAGATACCAAAAAATATACTTTGGTATTAAATTAATTAATTAATTAACTAATCCACTTAATTAATTAATAAGATTTGATAATAACCAATTTAAAATATGTACAATATACATGTGTGTATATATATAAATATATATATATATATATATATACCGCATGGCTTAACTAACCGCTATCAAATGTACTAATAAACATATATATAACATATATATATATATATATATATATATATATATATATATATATATATATATATATATATATAAACAAATCAAATATGGATAGATATAAACACATATTATATATATATATATATATATATATATAGATACGCGTGAGTTAAACCTTAACACGATTTCAAGCATTAAATAATAACTTTTACACCGTATAATACATATACTAAAATTCTAAAGTATATTAACTGATAGACAAAATAGTTAAGCTAATAAATTAATTAAAAATGTTATTCGTAAAGAATTATGACGAAAATAAAATTATAACCAAATTTTGAAAGGGGGATAGCTAACTAGATAGAGCAAAGGGAACTTATCCTGCGATATCATTATACAATTATAAAAACTAATTGATCTTCATTGTACGCACGCGCGTTTGGGCATGCATACGGAGAAAAAGAATAACGTTAATTATGTTTTGAAGGCACTCGCAAGCAACATCATAAACCTACTGGGCAAATTTTCCAACTTTAGACTAGATACTAATATAAATATATATATACATATATATATATATATATATGTATATACATATATATTTGTATAAATAAATATGCATTTGTATGTACGCATACACACACACACACACACACACACACACACACACACACACACACACACACACACATGTATTATGTATGTATTGTACAAGAACGAATTAGAGGTTTAAAAGTTAAGAGTTATAACATAACTGGCGCACTTAACGAAACCAAAAATATAAGTAAAAGAGATATGATTGGAGAAAGTTAGAAGTAGATAAAATGTCAAAAGAAAGGAAAATATGTAGTCACAGAAGGAGGAATAGTTGATTGTTAAATTCGGATTCATATGTTTTTATTTCCTGGATGCTGAGAAGTTTATTGATTTGATAAGTGTTTAGCCTAGGAAAAAATAGAAAATGAAATGGTGGATCGGTTGAGTTAGTTCAATATGCTGATATGGAAATGGTTAAAAAATGGATAAACATCGTTGGTAATAACAGAAGTATTGAAGTAACCGGAGTGAAGAAGCACAATCAGACCTGGTTCAGGACAAAACACATCAATTGAAAAAACTGATTTTAGAAAATTGTCATAATTTTTTTTATTGTCAAATTATAGAACATTAATAGTAAAATGTAATTTGCCAAATGTGTTCAAGCTCAAGAATGTATTATTCATAAAACATATTGAAAAAACCTTCCGTTCCAGATTATGCATGGAGATGTATCAAGTAAAATCTTATCATCAGAAGAAGATGTGGTTAAAAGTCAGACAGAATGCGTCAGTGTGAGCTTCGTTTGAGTGGAAGTATAAATTTTAATTTATAAAACTGATGAAAAACTGAAGTAAAGAGAAAAAAATCATTAATTACATCTAGAAAATATTAATTAAAGCAAATACAAAATAATTAAATCCAGTGCACCTTAGCGACCATTTAAAAACTGAAACCAAATTTAGCTAGGAACAAAACCCAAAACCAAAAAGTTGAAAAAATGGCTAAATGTTACAAAAGAAAGAAAGATGTGATTCACGTTAGATAATGAAAAAAACATGCAAAAGTAGTATATACAAACATAATGAGACAACAAAATTTATAGTTGAACGATACAATACTTCTAGTTAATTTACATATAGTTTGTTAACTTTGATGATATGAATGATTAAATGCTTCCAGCCAACCATGGTGACCTACCTTACAAGAAGCACTAAATTTCTATCAAAAAATGTTAAACATGACGAAATTTAAAACCAACATAATAGTTTAACATTATAATGAAAAAAAAACAAATAAAATTAAAAAAAGACAAAAGAAGTGAGTTAATTTGAAAACTGAAAACCGAAAATTTTATTTTGGCCAAAATAAAGTTAATTAAAATACGCAATCATTTATTTCAAACATCTAACTATAATAGGTGGACATCTATTTACATGAATTCACGCTTACAAAAACATTAATAATGAAAAAAATCAATGTAGACATTTACTGAAACCTGTTGAATAAAAATATTTTAAAACAATAAATAGATATATTTACATAAATTTACATTAATATTATGTTTGAATCAGCTCACAATTTACACCATTATGTATGCAAGTTATAAATATAAATACAGAGAATATATAGAAATAAATAAATACACATATATGTATGTATGTATGTATATATATATATATATATATATATATATATATATATATATAGAAGTGAATATATATATATATATATACAAGTGAATATTTATGTATATATATATATATATATATATATATTTATATATATATATAAACATTTTTATTCACGTATGTGTGTTAATAATTTATAGTTATGTAATTACAGTACATAGACATAAAAATACACAAGACATAAGTAAGGATACATTCACATACTCATAGAAATATCAATTGATAAATATTTTCAACAAAGGATCAATAAAACAGCTCGATTTAGAGCTTCCATATTTAAAAAAAATGTTGACCAAATAAAAAGTGATTCAGTGAAACAACAGTTGAATAGTAAGTATTGGTATACAGATAGAAGAAAAAATTATTAAAAATTATTTGAAGTAATTATGAAAAAAAAGTTTAGCATATTTTTTATTTGTAAGAAATTCAACAGCAATGAATGAATGAATAAAATAAATAAATGAACGAATGAATGAATTATTTATTTATTTACAAATAATTATAACATATACATAGAATGTAAAGAAAGTAAAGATAAAAAAATTTCGCAAAAACTTAAATTAATTAAAAAATGAATATTTTTTCCATAAATGAATTTGATAAATACAAAAACTTAATAAGTAGATAGAAGATATTTAAACCAATCAACCATTTTTAAATTGATGATCACCTAATAATAAACCATCAAACAAATGAACAAAAAAGAAAAGGATAGAGATAATGAAGATTAATGAGGAGACAGCTTGGCATCATCAGCCAAACGCTGTTCATAGTGTTGAAAATCATCGAAGAGAGAAGTGGTGTGCCTGTACTGATGTATAATATAAAGAACCTGTTTGCCTTTGTCTGCTGGTACTTCCTGAGTGTCACGGGAGTTTGTGACTGGTTTGTTCTCGTTGTTCTCCAGTTTGATGTGACGAAGTTGGCTGTTGGGTACATCCTTCACGTACAGCCACTTAACACTGAACTGACCTTTCCATTTGTTCTGAGCCCAAACACCGGCTTGCTTCTCATAATCAAGTGCCGAAGTCATCATGGCCACTCCACAAAAATGTCCACTGCCATTTACACTGAAGAAGAGATAGATCTTACCCTTGTTGTCTCGCTCCCTGTAGGCTGCATCAAGTCTCTTGTTGCCGTACTCAGTGCTGCACCAGATTTGATACTTTATTGATCTGTGAATGTCGTCTTCGGAGTAACTCTTGATGACAAAAAATCTGGCGTCAGTCAAATCCCAATTGAAATCTTTATGAGAGTAGTGGGAGGGGTCGAGATGGTCGGCCAGATAATTTGCAGAAGAAGGACTTGCAGTGTTTTCAGCATCTGAATATTCGGATGTTTTGTCAGGGGATTTCTTTGAGCTATCCCTGTTAGCATTGTTCCAATATCGACCACTGCTTCCTGATCTGTAATACTGACCTGAATTATAGCACGATTTAAGAGATTACATTTACAGTTAGTGAATATAAAATAAATATTATAAAATATTTGAAAAAATATCAAAAATCTTATTTGTAGCGCAAAAAAACTGTGTATTAGAGGTAAATAGATAATAATTAGTTGATGAAAATCTAATGCAAAGATAAATATAAATTGCCTGTATGATTATTTAACAACTATGACTGCAATAACAACCAGATGACAACAAATTTAATTAAAAACATTAATGATAGCAATAGCAGCAATCAATCGATTTAAAAAAATAACTTCCATAAAGAACCTTTTGGAGTGAATGAATTGTAATCCATGAATTTCCCAACACTGTTGTACGGATATACCTGCCCCAACACTGTGCTCCAGTTGGTATAAGGATTGGTATAGGCTTCATCCACAGTCCTTTCTAAGCCCAACTGAGTAAATGACTGCTCGAGTGCCCTGATGTCTGACGTTTCTCCATTCACTCCAATTATGCTGGTGGTAGCAGGGAGAGCATAACTGCCATCGACGTAGTAATAATTTTCTGGAGGGGCATAGATAGGAGAGTTTAATGTTCCAGAGTTCCAATCAGTTGAATATTCCGGTCCAGGGTACCAGCCATAACCATCGATACTCCTGTACGGGTAGTATGGAGGTGCATATGTGTAAGTACCATTTAAGGCACCAGAGTCTGCGGGGTACCATGGGACATTTTGTGGGGAAGCAGGTGTGAAGGGCATTACAAACTGCTGCTGATAGTTAGTTACGTACTGCGTGTTTTCCACTCCTTCTGCAAGCTCTTGGTTTTCATCCTACAAAAAAAAACAAATTGTAACTCATGCACAAAGCAGAACTTACTTATCAACTGCAAATAAATAATCTTTATATTGAATAGAACAAAATATTAATTATAAATACAGTATAAGTATAATGACTGATTAATAAATCCTACTAATAAATATTACACATGAAAGCTTTTTTCATCAATCATTTGTCATCATCAGCGCTGAATATGGATTTTGGATTTTCAAAATTCATATTCAACACTGATGATGACAAATGATTGTCAAAAAAGCATTTTATGTTATAATGTACAAGTATATTTAAACAACAACGCAAAAAATTAATAAATAGCTCATCTATAATATAAATATATATATATATACGACATAAATATATATAAATATGCGTGTGAGTGTGTGTGTGTGTGTGCATATGCATTACTACCTCACCTAATTATAAGAATTAAATTGGTTCAATAAAAAGTATAATGACTGATTAACAAATCCTACTAATAAATATTACACATGAAAGCTTTTTTCGTCAATCATTTGTCATCATCAACGCTGAATATGGATTTTGGATTTTCAAAATTCATATTCAACACTGATGGTGACAAATGATTGTCAAAAAAGCATTTTATGTTATAATGTACACGTATATTTAAACAACAATGCAAAAAATTAATAAAAACATTGCTTATGAACTGAACAAACATGATAATGTACTGAAATTTTATGTATAAAAAACTGAAAAACTCAATTGCAAATTGAACAATGCTTGTAATGCTGATATTTTAAAACTATATATATATATATATATATATATATATATATATATATATATATATATATATACATTAATATATATGTGTGTGTGTAAGTGTGTGTGTGCATGTGCATTACTACCTTACCTTATTATAAGAATTAAATTGGTTTAATAAAAAATGTTATTTAAAAATAATCATAAAAATCTTATGATCATATTTATGAAAAGATCAAAAAATAATTAATGGTTAAATAAATAAAATTATAAAAAATTTAAATGAGCTAAAATTTAAATAAAAAAATTTATAAATGTAACTGGTAAATGATAAATTATTCAACACACAATTTACATTATATTTTCAACTTATTTTCAATTTATGTTTCAATTCATTTTATGTGTACAGTATCTTATCTGAATATAAGTGTAAATAACAACAAGAAAATCCTACCCTTACCAACTAGAAAAATAATCAAACAAAAGGAATAAATTACTGAATTTCTACACAAAAAGATAAAAATGACAAGAATGATTTTAATAATTTTTCTGACAGCATATTAGATTTTTTTAGAATAATACTATACTAACTAAAATTGAAATATTTATTTTGTTTAGCCTACTCTGAAAATCAAATTTTGTTTTATATTTATAATGTTAAATATTATTATTAGAAATTAAATAAAAGACAATTAAAAGAAAACGGAAGAGAAAGGAAATTGACCCTACCTGACAGTTGACACCGACTGCAATTTTTTCATCAGTTGGAGCTTCAGCTGAAATTAATAAATTGCCCAACAATGCATTTTAATATTGATAACGTTTTTATAAAAATGAGAAGATTAAAAAAATTATTAAAAAAATAAAACAATGGTTCGAACTTTGATCAGGAGTATTCACTGAATTCTGTTGTCCTGACACTTCAGCCATTTTATATTATTCTAAAAAAATCAATTCTATTTTTTCATTAATTAAAATTAACATTTATCTTATTGAAAAGTTCAAAAGCAATTTTAAAGAATTATTTCTCGTATAAAACCTCTATTACGTAAATTATTTATAAAAGTCGGAAGTTTTATCGCTGGCCAACTAAAAGTAAACAAGAGATTGACAACAAAATTGATTTAAAATAAAATTATAGATGTATACCTTTGTTCAAAATATAATTATTAGTTAAAACAGTTTTAGTATTTTTCTGTTGAAATTATTTTAATAGAATCATAACTTTTCAACTCTATGACGCATGACGCATTATCACATGAGAGCAACATCGTGCCTTCATTTGGCCGGGCATTCATGATTTTCGCTTCCTTTTTGATGTCTTAGATTTACATTTATCATCGCTTAAGTTCCAATCTTTCAATATAGTTGTTAAAATAATAATTCCGCTGTTTTCGTTCGATTTTTTAAGAAAATGACGTTGATATAGTGTTTAGGCTAGCAGTGTTTTACTAAATTCTTGTAGTACTAAATCATGAAAATGTATAATTTTATATAATTTTGACGTTTTTATATTACCCTACTACCTTGAATAGACGTATTAGTTACTATGTATCAGTAAACACGCGCTATTGTTCAATATATTTTTGAATGTAGCACTGACATAGTGAAGTCAACAAGTAGTTTTTTACTAGATCCAAGTAGTATCCAGTTTCCAAAGCATGGAAATGTTTAGTTCGATAATGGAAATCCCGACGTTTTATATATATTGCTATATATCTTTAATCAACCAAATGGTTATCATTATGATTATTGAACACAAACCATAGTTAAATATTTTTTTAGATTTGGTACTGATATAACTTATTAAGCTAGTATTTTTATTTTTCTACTAGATTCATGTAGTAAGCTACTCAATCTCGTGAGCATGAAAATGTATCATTTGGTAATTAATATCTTGAAACTACCGAATACATAGGGCATAATGAATTCGAGAACACGGTTTATGGTTTGATTATTTTTGGCTGACTTAGTGAATTAAGCTGGTAGTTTCCCATCTAGATTGATGTAGTGCTTAATATTCTGAGCATGAAATGACTAATTTTGCAGTCGAAATTTCGAAGTTTTTGATATAGGGTACCTTGAATCGAGAGAATAGTTGTCATTAACTATTAATGAAGACGCATAGTAGATTGATTTTTTGGAATGGGACGCTGATGTAGTAAGTTAAGCTGAATTTTTTCTTTAAATTCATATAGTACTCTTCTGAGCATGAAAATTTATAATTTGGTAAAGGAAACCTGTTTTACTGAACACGCACTATCTCTATATCTATCTTCAATTATCGCTTGGTCTGACTCTATGTATCTTAAATTAAATCTTTATGTTTGAATTAATTTGTTTTAATAAATCTAAACGCTTTTTTATTATTTTTTCTATTATTTTACCTGATTCTAAAACTCTTGATTTTTGATGTTTCTCATAAGTTTCGTAGTCTAGTCCTTATCTTTGATTCTAGCATGTCTCTTTCTTCTCAGAATAAGTGTTATAAAAGTTCTTACTTTCAACTACGTACAATAGAATAACTTTTGCCTTTTCTTGACGATCCTACTTTTTCTTGTTACTTCTTTAGTTTTATCTAGGATTGATTATTGTAACTTGCTCTACATTGCTCTAGGATTGATTATTGTAACTTGCTTCCTGATTTACACTAGAGCCCTGCGCGGTTTGCGGTTGTCGCGGTTTAAACCGCAAAAACCGCACCGCAACCGCGGTTTTTTGCGGTTGCGGTGCAAAATCATGCGGTTTTACGCGGTTGCGGTTTTGAAATATGCGGTTTTTCCGCGGCGCGGTTTTTTTTATCAAAACCGCGGTGACCGCAAAAATAGCGTTAAATATTTTTGTTCGTCCATAACATTTTAAAAATTGCATTATCATTGTAATAATTTTATATATTAAAATCTTAATATCTTTGGAAGCCGTTGAAGCAACCATTTTCTTTTTCCTGTTTACTTTGAAAGAAGTAGTTATTTTATTTACGGCGTGGTTAATTATCGATTATTTTATAAAAATGTCCGAGGTAAAAAATGTTGATCCACAGGTAGATGTAATTGATAAAGAAAGGGTAGGATCATCTCTCAATTATACACTGCAAAAGAGACGGTCCAGTTTAAATCCATACAAAATTGACAAACGTTATTTATTAAGAAGAGTAACAGTGATTTGGATGTGGATAGTTGTGATTTATAATGTCAATAAAAGCATTAATGTTGTTTTTCATTTCTTGCGGTGCGGTTTTCGGCGGTTTTGTGCGGTTGCGGTTTTCGACGCTGCGGTTGCGGTTTTGTGCGGTTGCGGTTTTGTGCGGTTGCGGTTTTTGAAAATTCCAACCGCGCGGGCTCTAATTTACACTATCCTTTAAATAAAGCTTTTAACTCTGCAGTAGTTCGTCTGGTTGCTCGTCTCTCTTTTTTTCATATTTTGTTCTATTGCATTGGTTGTCTACAAAAATTGAATAATTTTTAAAATTCGGACATTAATGTATAAGCCTCAATTTAAGTACTTATCAGTTATATTAACTGAACCTAAACTTAAAATCGTCTTCTTGTTCTCTTTACTTTTTTCTCTTTAAACACCAATTACTAAATCTGCATTTGCTTTTTCTGGCCCTTTTCATAAACATCTCAAGTCAGGCATTATATTTTTTGACATAGGCGCAATTAACAGCTTTAATTCAACAAATTGTGTTGATTAAATTAAAAAAATTGTTTTTTGTTTTTTTTTGTGAACAGTCAGCCAAATACTGTGTTCGTTAATAATCATCTCAAGTTAGCCACTATAATTTGTGACACTGTCGTGATGTACTGCATTGTTTTAAATCAATGCAATCGATCAAATACATATTATGAATATTATTTCAATTGTATTTCTACAAACTGTATTGATAAAGTTGAGAAAATTTGTGTTTTTGTGAAAAGTCAGCCACTATATTTTGTGACATTGAAGCAAGTATCACATTATTTTAATACAATTATAGTTCAGATACATATAAATAATATTATATCAATTATATTATAACAAATTGTTTCGATTTTGTTAATAAAAATAGCATTTTCATGCGTTTATTTACTTACAAAGTTAGTCTGCCACTGTATGTACATTATGTGTTGTTACGATGTTTTACATTATTTCAAAATAAATTTCGAGTAATTTTTATTGAACTTACGGTAATATTACTATATTTTATTCATTTTTATGTTTTGGTATCTCAGCATCACTACGTGTTCACGTACACATACATTCTGCATGCAAGTCAGCCAAGTTAGCCAACCATAAGTCAGCCAATTAGTCTGACTCTATTTAGTCTTGTGAAGTATTAGCTTCTGAAAATTATATTTTCATCTAAATAAAAACATGAGTGTATGGAAAAGGTTGCAAAGGGTTGGAAAGAGAGCTTCCAAATATCAGTTTACAACATCCTACAGAGAATTGTCTATTGAGTGCGTCAAGAAATGGTAAAGTAGTATATTTATTTTATTTTGTATTTTGTTTACTCTTGAGTCTTGAATGAATGTAATTTGTAATTATTCTGTTTTTTTTTAATCTATGGCAAATCATTATCTTATTAATAAAAAAAATTATACCACCATGCAATACAATGATGGTATATATTACAGTACAAATTAATTGATCTAATTCTGGTTAGAGATGGAAATTGTTCTCAAAAAACTTTTTATGATATGCACCATAAAAAATTGTTTGTTTTCTTTAGTTAGTCTTTTATGCTTTGATAGATTGACAGATCTCTACTTTATTCATTATATTCCATATGTCTTATTAATTTAATAGATTTAAAAGTGAATGAATTTTTATTCTCCAATGAGGTAACTAATTAAGTTTTGTGAGTTATGGGATGGTTTTATCTTTTATCAAACACTATTTCAGGTTAATATCAATTTAAAACTCAAAATGTTTATTTGATTTGATTTTGTGTTCTAGGCAGCCGAACAAGATATGCATTGTCTGGATGAGGAGGAACAGAAGGAAGTGTTCAGAGGTGAATTATAATTTTTTTCATTTATATTTGTGTATGCATATTCCATTGATTATATTATGTATTTAAATGTATCATCTATTAATTTTTATATACATTCATTAATTGTTTTAATTATTGACTAATTTTAATTAATTATAGACTATAGAGTTTAAATTTTTTACTTTTGAAATTTAAACAGAAATCACTAGTTACATTAATTAATCTAATAATTTTAATATAATTGTATTCTGTATATATGAAAATTTTCTTTAATTGATATAATTTTTTTTGCTTAATTATTTTATTCAATGTAATAAATAGCATTGATTCATTCAATGTTTTTGCTATAATAAATAATTATAACTAAAAATTTGATTTAATTATTTATTTTCTGTCATGGTATGATTCATTTGTTTTATGTTTTCTCCATTACTCCTCCCTCTCTCTCTCTTTCAATAAATAATCATTATATGTCATCATTTTGATTTATGGTTAGGATTTCATTGGGACATCTGACATCTCATTTTTTATTTTTTACAATTTTTCTTCATTCTACTATTTCTGCTCTGTTTTTGTTTTCTAGACATATTTGTATTTGTTGATGGATACATTTTTGTGTTTTCTATTTTTTTTATTATGTTTAATACATTTTCCAAAGTTGTTGACTAAATTATATTTAGTTAGTATTTTTTTGTTATTGCCTGTGTCTTTTTGTATTTTATATTTTTTGATGTTTTGATGGTTTTCTAAATTGTTGTTGTTTATCTACTATGGTGATGAAAACCATAAAGAGAATACAGATGGATGATAGAGATTATAGTATTGATGGTGGTGACAATGATATCCTGGATTATGTTTACGATGATGATGATGATGACGATGATGATGATGATGTGGAAAGTGATTTTAGTGATAATGATTCTTATAATAAGATCATTTTGCAATGTGATTTTTTTTTAACTTGCAACCATTAGAATGTAGAATTTTATTGGGTACATCTATTTTTCTCTATAGTATTGTTAATGTGAAAATATCAAACTTTTAAAATGTAGATAGTATCATTGATTTTTAAAACATTGCAATTTTTTAAACAATTTTTTTTAATTTTAAACAATTAGGAGAAAGGATTTGTTGATAAGATACAAACTTAGCAGTAAAACGTGTTGCTGATAACTGAAAATCCCTTATGTAAGGATGTAACAAACATTTTTTTAAAATTTCCTTTGAAACAACCTACTTGCATACACTACTAAGATGCCTTTAGATTGAATTCAATGAATTGTTTGTATGTACTGTACACTTATTAACATGTGTGACATTTTTCGCTTAATGGTGATGATTGGTTCTTTCTTTCATTATTTCTTTGATGTTTCTCTGTGTTGACCTATGCTGTTTAAAAATTTTTGCAATTATTTTTTCATGGTGCATTTACAATAAAATTTGTATAGCTTGCTTTTAAATTGTTGAGAATGTTATCTTCATCAAAATTATTCAATTAATTAGACTGACAAAAATATTTTGTTCACATACATAAATTAAAATATTACAAATTAGATAGTTAATCACCAAATGAGTCCTATTAATAAGGAAATTATCTTTTCACAGTGTATTATTTAGTTGTCATTTGTTCTCAATTCTTAACAAATAATTTAAAAATGGTTTTGAAATTGTAGTACAAGCAAATAAGCAATTAAAAGTTTAATAGGCAATTTTAGCAAAAAAAGTATAATAACTGCCATTCATATGACGCAGCTGCACACCTGGGAGCCGACACTGGACAATCCCTACATGGGCATTGTGTCCTGGCCTGTGCCAGAGAATGTCGAAATCACGGTCACCCTTTTTAAAAGCAGCAAGACAAATGTATATGAAGATAAGGAATGGATCTTCACAATTGAAGATGTAAGGATTTTTTTTTCGTTTCAATTAAATTCAGATTAAAGTTTACTTTTGAGGTATATTTTAACATCTCACTTCAGGTTTGGTACCTTTAATTAATGCAACATTATTTTCTTTATATTTTATATTTTAAAATGTTCTCTTAATTTTTATTGAGTCAACTGGAAGTGTATTGAAAAATGAACTGGAGATGGTTATGCAGATATGTGTGTACTGTACACATTTTGTACACATTTGTTTGCATGTGTGTACTGTACTTACGTTTGCACTCTACATATGTGTTTATATGCTTGTGTGTGCAGTACATATATGTGTGTAGATGTGTAATTAATTATTAAGTGTTGGTATCTGTTGTCAACATTAACTGTGATGAATGAGATAATGAGCCTCCTATTTTTTGAAATAATGATATTCATCACATCTAGCAAGAGATGTTGTCGTTGTTGTTATTATTATTATTATTTTGGTTTTTATTGTTGTTGGATGATGGAGTGATTTATATATCTTTAATGTTCCTTATTTTTATGGATTTTAAACTCTGTCACAAACAATAATAATGGTGATAACGATGATGATGATGATGACATCAGTAAATACGCTATGATTCAATGAAATTATATTCTTATTGTACACTTTATCAGTAACACATATTATATTGTGATAATATAAATTAATATAAAATATGTCAAACTAATTCATATAATTTCAGAATGATGCTATTTGGCAAATTAGTACTATTATATAGTTAATGCTTGACAATGTAGCATGCATGAAACTTTTTTTACATTTAAAAAAAACACAAAATCACTTTTGATTTTACGAACAAACACAACTACACACACACACATACACACTCATACACGCACACACACACGCACACACACATACAGACTTTTTTAGTTTCACAGACACACAGACAAACAACACAACAACACACACCCAAGCATCTTACAATACACAAATACACATATAAAGATCTAACCTAAAACTTTCACAACAACCAATTGCAGCACGACAAAAAAGGTCGTCGCAAACAACTGGCCACAGCTTGCATGAACATGAAGGACTACGCTGGCACTGTTCCACTACAGAAGGACGTTGACCTAAAGTTGAAGCCTGTCTCCAAGAAGATTTTGTCTGGAAGGCTTCAACTAACTGTCTCTTCCATGCTTATTAGGGAAGGAAATGCCACGTTAGTTCATATTTTTCTTTTACTTTTTATTACTTTTTTCTTTTTTTTTTATTGATTTTGTTATTGCTATAATTGTAATGATTATTTTTGTTATGAGTGTTGTTTGTATTCATTAAGATTTTAGTACATGCTGCATATTTTTATCACCGGTTTTCATCATCCCTTTATTTCAAATTTTTTCAAATATTTTGAATATTCTTCATTTGCGTCCTATGTTTGAATATTTTTAATTAATGTCCTATGCCTTTTTAAACATTTTCAGCTTCATTTGTACACTTATGATATCTTAACAATTTGTTCTCGGCCACAAATGGTCGGGAGTAGTGATGACGACATGCAGAGTATGGCGAGTCTCATGAGCATGGATAAGTTAGGTGACGTTGGAAACATGGATGACATCGATGAAGATGACGAAAATGTTCCAGACGATGACGACGTCGTTGCACAAGCCGCTGTTAAGTTCCAAATATTCTCAAATGACAAGGAAGACGACGAAGATGACGACGATGGTGGCAAATTGAATGATAAAGATGGTCCAGTTGGTACAGTTAGAAGAAGAGATGTTGCACATGTGGCGAACAACTTCGACTCCTCTATAAATAGTTCCATCTCTGGAGTGACGCCCATAAAACAGCACGACAAATTGATGGTGAATTCTCATATGTCCAATGGCTCTGAAGGTGATAGCTCCTTCTCGTCGTCCCATCGTTTCATATCGAGCACACCTAACAAATGTCAACAACAAAACGAAAAACAAAATCATCATCAACATCAACAACAACAACAACAGCAGCAACAGAATTTGAACAATGGTTATTCAGATACTGGTGGCCATGATAAGAGGTGATTATTATTAATGTTCAATAATGAATATTTACCCATTCATCTAGTGATTATGATGAAAAGTTTGTTTTAGGGTTTATAAATGTTCAATTGATTTGATGATTATATGCTTGTTACTCACCTGCAGAGCGACACCTGATAAATACGATAGTCCTGATCAGTACCTCCAATCAAAAAGAGATTCCTTGGAATTGAAACTTAATCAATCCGTTAGATCAACTCTTAAAATTCTGTCATTTTTCATTTTAAACGATACGAAATTCCCATAATAAGCTCTAATGGAATTACATTTAAATACAGATACAGGTTGGCCCGACCCCTCATCACGCTCCACCATCATCATCAACATCATCAGCAGCATCATCATCATTACCGTCTGCAAAACCGACGTTGCCCGTGGTATCTGGCATTGCTTCAACTCCAACTGTAGATCTGCTTGAGTGGTGTAAGGAGGTCACTCAAGGTTATCGAGGGGTCAAGGTCAGATCACATATTTTTATATATTCATGTGTTAAGATACTGTTTTGGGCGTTTTGTTATCTGATTATATATCATTCATAGTTTGTGTCATTGGAATGTTAATTATTATTACCTAACGATAATTCCCCTGAAAAATGATCAGGTGACCAACATGACAACGTCCTGGAGAAATGGCATGGCATTCTGTGCACTCATTCACAAGTTCAGACCTGATCTTATGTTAGAAACCAGCTGTCATTTTAAATTTCCTGTATTGTCCAGATGCATATTTTTATTTCACCACAAAAATTAATTTGGCAATTCATATTTTTTATTCAATTTATTTTGGTTCATTTCCAAGTAGACATTTTTCAATTTTTCAAATATTAAAGGATTTAAACAACTAATTTTTGTACCTCAATATTTTGTTATCATTTATTTATAACTGATGGATTTGAAGTTGCAATATATTTTTTTATTCTTCAGAAATTTCGATTCGCTCTCTCCATTGGACATAAAATCCAACTGCAAACTCGTAAGTCGATGTTGAGTTGTTAACAACAACCTCTCTTCACGTTTCTTTGTTTCATTCCACTGAGAAAACATTTTTGTGATTATTAATAGTTTAAAAAATATTTTTATCTCGTTTTTTATAGCAGGATTGTTCATTGTTTTAATATTATGGTTTTGAATGAGTGTGTTATCAGTGTGAAGAGAGAGAGAGAGAGAGAGAGAGAGAAAGAGGGAGAGAGAGAGAGAGAGAGAGGGAGAGAGAGAGAGAGAGAGAGAGAGAGACGGCAAACAACAAATACAACAAATTTTGTATGAGCTGGGCATGTACATAGATAGATGCACGCACATCTTTATTCATCAGTCAGAGAATTCATGTAGATAAGTGTATGACTGAAATGTTAGTTTAAATCATTGTTGTCATTTATTCAGCTGTATTCTGTCAGATAACATTTACTAACCTCACTGTAAATAGCATAAAATCGATGCGTTTTTGATCTACTGGAACCGTAATGCTATGTTTCAGTATTTTTTGCATTGTAAAGAAATCTTTTGAAATTTTTCAGGCCTTCGATACAGCAGCCGATCTCGGAATTCCGAAAGTCCTCGAGCCATCTGACATGGTGTTACTTGCTGTTCCTGACAAGTTAAGTGTCATGACTTATTTGTATCAGCTGAGGTCATACTTCACCAATCAATCTCTCCACATCCAGCAGATTGGTTCGTGTGTTTTATTTCTTCATTTCTTTACAATTTTACAAATTTATTTGTTTTTGTTTGATAATTTGATTTTTCCACTAGTTAAAGATGATGTTATCTAATTTAATGCATTACTTTTTAAAGTCCATATTTTTTATTGCTGTGTAATTTTCAAATTTGATTTCACGATAACTATTTTTTTTTTTTTCGTTCAACGAATAATATCTGCTGTATTGATTATCATATCATATCATATCTTCTAAAACCTCTGAAGTTACGAGAAAATTTCTTATACAAATAATATATTTATTGCTAATTCTATTTTAATATACTTGATGAATTATGAAGAACCAATTATTATTATTGTCATTTCCTTTCTCTATATTTTGTCGGTTGTAATTTAAAATATAGTTCTGATATGACTTTATTTGTGAACAATGAGACAATTTGGATTCACTGAAACCGGCCATCACAACATTAGCACATATGGTAACAACATAACATCAACATTAGCGCATAACATCAACATCACATCAACGTAACATTAACACATAACATCAACAGGACAGCAACATAACATCAACAGATCAGCAACATAACTTCATCACGCAGGCCTAACAGCCAAGGACAGCACGTACATAATAGCAGCCAGGGAAGAGAGCAACAGCAAAAACAACAAACTCCAACTTCACCCTTCTGTCGCCAGTGATATTGCTGGCGACATGATGAAACATCAAATAACGACAACAGCAACGACACAAGCAGATGATGTTGACGCTAATCATCGTCAGTTACTCACCGATCATGAAAGCCAGTACAAGAATACTCTTACTGATGTCAGCAATGATTCAGCTTTTGAATGCTCCGTGTCAGTTTTTTGTTGCTCACTTTTTTTTTAATTTTTATTGAATTTATTATTTATAATAATTAGATTTTATTATGCATTTAAAGATTCTTTTTAATTTTGTCAGTATATTATAATTTTTAATGAATTCAAGTGTTTTTAGTTTGTGAGTATGTACAGTAATTTCTATGTATTCAAGTTATTTAAAATAATTTTGATTACTGCATGATATAATTTTTCATACACCTGCCTACACACCAGAATATTTTTCTATAATTAATTTTTTTAGACTGTCATCGAATTGAGTTGATTCAATCCTTACCTTATTTGCATAACTTTCTTTTACAGAAACTCTTTCAATTCTGACTCTGGCAATGGTGGAAACACGTCAAGAGTTAGTCAACTTCTGGTCGAAATTATTTTTTTTAATTGATTAAATCATATATTTTTTAGAAAATTTATAATAATGATAATAAGAAAAATTAATTATTAACATTTTTTTCACCCAACAGCAAAAAATAAAACATCTTACTCTGAACCCATACAAAGGTCATAAGTTCATCGAAAAGGTCACTGACCTAACACCAACTAGTCCTACAGGGGGCAAGGTCATTCAGGTATCCTTGCTATTGCTACACTCTTTTATTTTATCTTTTTCAATTTTATTTCTTTGTTGTTTGTTTATTTTATTGTCCTACCTATTTATTTATTTATCAAAAATTGTACTTTGACTAATGATCCAGACTTCAATTTAGTGGCTAATTATCATCTGATATATTTTTGGTCAGAAAAGCTGAAATTTTTTATGATAATTAGATTTTTTAACTGCTGTTGGTTGCTTTATTGCCCCATTTTACTAAGACATTTCAGTAGCATCCCTTTTTATTATTTATGACATCTTGTGTCTGTTACCATTAACCAATGTCTACATTACTCTGACGACGTTTATAATTGATGATGACAGTGAAAATGATGATGACGGCAATTGTGACGATAATGAAGATGACGATGACAATAATTGTGAAGACAATGAAGGTGACGATAATTGTGACGGTGGGGAAGATGATGATGACATGACGATGACGACATATAGAGGTTGTTCAGGATAATGATGATGATGATGATAGCTTGATGATGATGATGATGATAGCTTGATGATGATGATGATGATAGCTTGATGATGATGACGATGATGATTCACAGGTACAAAAATCCAATCTAGTAGACTTCAAAGAGAGAGCTCGAGCTTTACTGGAGAAGGCTCGGTGGGAAGCTACCTCACCTGTTTCTGACGTACCAGCTTCCAATAAGGTGTGTGTGTGCGTTTGTGTGTGCGTGTGGTTGTAACTGTGTGGTGTTTGTAGCTGTGGAGTGTTTGTATTTGTGTGATGTATGTATTTGTGTGGTTTTTATTTTGTGAATGTATTTGTAAAGGTTTTTCTGCGGTGTTTAGTGTTTGTGTGTGGGTTTCAGTTTGGTGTTTGTATTCTTTTGTTAGTTCGATGCATGTTGAGTGTTTTTGTGTTGGTGATAAGTATAAAGAAATAGTTGTGGGCTAACATGTTCACGTGTAGTCATATATAAAATTGTTAATTATGGAAAATGTTATGACCATGATATGATGGTAGATGAAGCTTATAAAGATGGCTGGTTTAATGCAGTAGCATGTGGAAAAATAAGAGAATTAATTTTACATGTTATTGGTCTGATGATTCAAGATGTGAAAATATTAAGTTGTGCAGCGCAATACTATTAAAATGTATTAAATGAAATTTTTTAAGAGACGTGATTGATCTGTTTTAGTGCAATGATTTTTTAATTTAGTATGAACTTTCATTCTGCTGTTTGTTTAGTTAGCTGTGGAATTTTTTCTCTTTTTGTCATTATAAATTCTGTGTTATTATATATATATATACTGGTGGTATATGCGTTGTTGCTCAATTCCTGTACGTGTATTTAAATGCGACTCGGTTTTTGGCTAGGTTATTGAATTTCATAAAAATGAAGATGAGTGAGGTCAGAGATATAAAATGTTAAAACAAAGAAATTGATAGATTTATAGATAAATTTGATAAAAGGCAATTAATGGAGTTTAAATTTAGTTGGTTTTTTCTATGTCTACATTTTTTGTCATTTGTTTGCTTTAATTTTTGTCAAATAAAATTTCATTTAGAAAAAATATGAGAGCTGCTCAATAAAGAATGAGACACAAATTTTAAACTAAACATGCTTCTATTTTATTTTTTATTCTGCAGGCTAACTCTGTAGCATCTGTTTCATCATCCGAATTCAACAGCAGCAGCTGCAGCAACCTGCCACACGTTCCTCCTAGCGCGTCGGCGTCTGATACTTCACACAACCACAACAAACCTGTTGATATAGGTTTCTTTGGGGGAGTAGAGGAGTGGAAAATGGAAAATATTGATACTGTTTTGGTTTTCTTTATGACATATTTGAAATGTTATATCAAATTTAATAATTAGTTTTGATTTAATTAGTTAGTTAATTAGTTAATGTTTAACAATTAGTTGGTATTCGGTTATTAATTAACTATTGGTAGTTAATATTGCTGTTTAGTTCATGTTCAGTTCATTTTAAATTAATTTCAATATTCTTTTATTATGGAGTTTTGTTTATTTTTATTTTGATTTGGTTTCTTTTGGTTGGAAATTTTTCATGTTATTTATTATTATTTTAATTATTTAATCATTTAATTATATTATTATTTTTATATTTTTATAATTATTGTCTAATAAATCTTGAATTAGTTTGGTTTTTTTCCATTTTTCATTCAACACATAATTCAATTTGATGTTATTATAATTTTATTTGAATTAGTTAATGGCGTTTCAAGGATTCAGTTTCATCAGTTTAAAAAGAATGGTTAGGTATTTAGTGAGAATTTTTTGTTTTAATCACATTATGCAGTTTTATTTTATTTATGTTTCACGAATTTCTCTTTCAATTATTTATATTTGTTTCTAATTTGTTTTTTGCTATTTTTTAGTTTTATTATCGATATTTTTCATTTTAAATAGTTTATTTTATTTAGTTACCAAGTTTTGCGCTAGTTCAGTTTTCATATAAAATATAGAATAATTTTTAAAATTTGCACATTAAATCTGCTTTTGCTTTTTCTGGCCCTTTTTTTCTGGAACTCTCTACCTTCTTCTCTAACTACTTATCCATCACTTACGAAGTTCAGAGCGGATCTCAAGACCCATCTGTTTTCAAAATTCATTGAAGAGCGCTGTTGAACATCGCGGAAATAGCGCTTTATAAACTTGATTGATTGATTGATTCATTCATTTATTCATTCATTTATTCATTCGTTTATCCATTCATTCATTTATTCATTCATTCATTCATTCATATATCAAAACTAGCCTACCCGCTGCACGTTACAATTTACAACTATAACTGATGTATTTTTAAATTTTTTTTAACTTAATTTAATTTAATTTGATTGAAAATGAATTGTAAAGTTAATTTAATAATAATCCATTAGATGGAGTTTCCACACTTCCTTCACCATCAGCCACATCACCATCTTCCTCCTCCACCTTTGATGTGAAGTTGAAAAAGATTGTTCTCAACAAACCATCCCCTGTTTCATGTGCTTCCAATGTCACGGTTTGTCGTGCTGTTCACTTTATAATTCTTTGTTCTTCATCGTTTTTTTATCCTGTTGATTTTTATTGCTAGTTCACTCTATTGTTCTTCATCTTTTTTTGTTGTTTGTTCACTCTATTGTTTATTGTTTGTTCTCTTCAATCTTTCTTCTTTTGTATGCTGCTTGCTCAGATATTTTTGTTTGCTGGTTGACAGTGCTATTTTTCTAAAAGTTTGCTTCATTGTTTATTTCAAAGTTAATGAATAGTTTCCAGTATGGGTTTTAAACATACTCAAATTTAAATTGATCTCATATGTAATGAAATAATTATAATTATCGTTGACTGCAGCCACTGAAGAAAACCACCAACGCAGCCTTGACACCTCACAAAGTTCGATATTTCATTTCAGTTGGTTTATTTAATTGAGCTTTATTCGTTATATGTAAGCTGAGATGCTGAAATATAAATGGAAATTTAAAAGTTTAAAAATGATTCCACTCATATTACAATATTGTGCTGTAATGATATTGCCAGTCTCAATACAGTTTAATAGCAAACAACTGAACACGCTGTCAAATGTCACGTTAAAATGTTATCTGCTGAATTAAAAGCAGGCTAAAGATGTGGCGAGTTATGTACAGCTGGAGATGGATGCGCTGGACTGCGAACAGATGCAGATCGATAAGAGGGCGGCTGAGGTGGAGAAGGCACTGAGGAATGTTATGGATTCAGGTTGGTTGGTTAGTTGGCATGTTGGTGGTTAGCTGGTTGGTGGTTGGTTGCTTGCTTATATGGCTGGCGGTCGGTTGGTTTTTTAGCTAGCTTGGTGGTTAATTTAGGAGAACAATGGTTGATGTTTAGATTTATTAATTTGTATTAAAAATTACAATAATAGTAATAATACTTGAAATGAAAGGCAATCTTGAAGCCTTCTAGTCAAAATTTATTTCACAATAGAAGTGCTAGCACAACATTAAATTTTTAAACGTTATAGATTGCAATCGCGTCGACATCAATCAACACTTTCAATCTTTTTGGAAGTTTTTTAAAAAATAGTTCTTGTGAAATAACAAAAAAAATTGAAAGAATGTTTGAAAAACCAGGGAATGTGGTTGAGGAGGATAAGTTGATGCAGGAGTGGTTCCTACTGGTCAACAAGAAGAATGCTCTCATCAGAAGGCAGATGCAACTCAACATATTGTCAGTTCAATTCTTCTTCTTCTCACATTATCTCTCATTTTTGTATGTAAATATTTCATTTCTATGTTCCGTTGGTATCAACTCGTTATTTTTCTACTTAATTTTGTTTCTATTATTTCATTTGTTTAAATGTTTCAATAATTCGTTCTCTCGGTTTTAAGAAGCTTTTTTTTATAAATTGGGTTTGTCTAAGTTCTTAGAGCAACGTTCATGTCAAAATCTACAAGTTCTTACACTGTTGTTGGATTACACTAAATTGTTATAGTTTTAATTATAATTTGATCTTCAGTCACAAGCAAACCAATACATGTATAAAATAGCGATAACGTAGCAGCAACATGACGACAGCAAAAACAACGTTGACAGGGAGAAAGAGGAAGACCTGGAGAAGAGATTTGAACTACTGAACAGAGAGTTGAGGCAGTCGATGGCCGTCGATGGTCAGTTGGTCTTCTTGTCCATTTTTTATTCCAATCGCCATAGCTTTTAATTTTAACTTGACCCAAACTAGATAGCAACATGCAAACTAATGAAGTCAAATGAAAATAGCATTGTAACAACAATAACAGTGCTACATAACACAAGATTTAAGTTATAAACGCGCACACACACACACTTATACATATATCTACAATTTTTAATGGAATATTTTTAAGTAATTATCGTTATTATTACTATGAAGCATGAAAATGGTAAAAGAGTTATCAGAATACAAATTAAATTGGAGTTAATTAAGTATTCTTAAATTATGTAGAATATTTATCTGTTGTATTGACGGAGTTAATAATAATAATAATGCAAATAGACTTGTTAACAACAAATTATTGAGTTAGCTGTATTGAATTGTAGTGCTCACAAACCTAAATTGACGTCAAATTAATTGATGCAATCAATAAGATTGGGACGAAGCCAATTAATTGCTGTAATCAATTAGATTGTGACAAAGTCCATTATATGATATAATTAATTTGATTGTTACGAAAACAATTAAATGATGTAATTAATTAGATAGCGACAAGTCAGACGAGCAAAAGAAAAGAGAGAAGTTGTTGCTGGAGGAGTTGGTTGTCATCGTGAACAAGAGGGATGAACTGGTGCAGCATCTCGATTCACAGGAGAGAGGGCGAGTGACGATAGCGATGATGATCACGATGATTCATTCGTTTTGATGATGATTATTATGTTATTGGTGATTATAACAATTAAAATAATAAGTATGATAATGAACATGATGAGAAACATGATGGTGAACACGATGACAATCATGATGGTGAACACGATAATACACAAAATGATGATCATCATGTTGAACATCGTGACAAACATGCATTCACAGGATAGAGGAAGATGAAGAGATTGAACTGTCATGCAGTCAGAGACTGAGCGAGAAATCTTACAGAGAAGATGAGAAGAGTTGCCTCGTTATGTGACGTCATCACGAGATCACGTGATGACGATGTTGGAGTAGTTTTATCGTTATACTGTGCGATCATGTAGTCATGTGATCTTTGATCTTAGGTATGTGATGAAGTGACTATAATGCTTGTAACACGATAATGCATATACTGATAATGTGAGTTATTCAATAAAGATTGTGTTAGTCTTGAGAGATGTAAGATGAAATATAAATGGAAAGGCACTGTTGAAATAAATAATCTCCTTATTGCATGCATGATGATTGCATTTCATTCGCATGCAGATGACGGTGACTTCAGTTTGTCGCAACTTTAATTCAATTTTGCAAAAAAATACTCTTATCTTGAATTGTAAATTGAACTCTGGGCATCACTTTGTTTTCTTTTCCATACACGCGTGTTGCACGTGGCACATTTTAATTCATTGCTCCATTTGTTTGATGTCTGGAGAAATGTATTGTCAAAATGTCAGTAAACAATTATCCATTTGAACAAGCAAATTTTGTTTTATTTTGCATTTTTTGACATTACAATTGTAAATAATACAATTTATTTAACAACCCCAGCAATATTTTATAAGAATATCAATGAAAATTTCGTAGATATATTTAAATATTTTTGCCGAACTCTCATATCAAATTGCGTATTAATGGCAGATAATGCTAAAAGTTTTATTAACAATTTATAATAATACTTTTTTTTCTTAGTTTATGATGGAATGTTTCTTAAAAAAATTATCTTATCTAACTGAAGCTAAGATAATAAAATTGACATGCTTAAAAATTAAGATGTATCAATAATAATGATCAGTAATGAGGTGTCTTCATGTAGTAGATGTACGATGTGTTGACGATGTCTTTATTGGATGTAAACAAAATGTTCTTTTGAAAGTTATGTTATATATTGATATTCGAAGTCATTTCACTTGTTTCATGAACGTACAGAGCACATGTTCGTGCACACTTTTCAAGACATGTATGTCATCAAATCGAAAAATGTTATTCATTCGTTGAATAATATGTTGAAAGAATGTGAAAAATTCTGCATTGACTTTATGTATTATTATTAATTTATTAATGCTTTTTATTTTGTTGGTTGTTAATATTAATATTATTTTCTATATATTTTATTTATTTATTATTTGTTATCCGTTTCATGTCATACGACTTAGATCTTGTATGTGTGTGTTTGTGTGTTTATGTGTGTATATGTGCGTTTGTTTGTGTGTGCGTTCATGCATGATGCATGAGTGTGCATGTTTAAGTTTAAATATACTTATATATATATATACATATTTATTTGTGTGGACGTACACGTTTCCATATTTAGCTATTAGATTATTAATTATATTTAATAATTAATTTTCAGCACACGCTGTTAATAATTAATCTGTATTATTTTCGCTTTCCAGCTTACGTTCGTTTCGTTAAATTTATTTCTCTACGTTCGTGTTGTTATTTCATTTTATTTAAGTAGAAATGTTACTTGCAATAATTCATATTGTGTGAAGTCATGTGAACAGTCAAGCCTCTCTTCCCGTTCATTGCATTTTCTTTCTTATCTTTCTTTACAGTCCAGTTTTCATTTTTTTACATGTATTACATCTATAGTCATTTTTGTTTGCAGCGTTTTAAAGCATGCTATCGCCATTACGCTAAAATGCGATTATTATTAAGTTATTTTTGTTTATTATATTTATTGCCTGCTTCTAGTCACGCTGTCTCCGTGTTTTTCATTGTTTTTATTTATTTCTTTTGAATTACGTTGATTTCACTTCTTTATGAGGTTTTATAGATATCCAGACCGAATCGTGTTTCGTTTTAATATTTATAATAAGAAATGCCTAAAATGCTTATTGCACATAACTAACATCAAACTCGTTTTCAAACGATAAGTTAGTCGATTTAGCATAGTTTCTAAGGTAGGGATTAGGTTCTTCGTATTTTAACGAACCAACTGATAACAAACAACTTCTGAATAGTAATTTTTAAGCTGATTTAAGACAAATGTGTTGCACTAAAATACATCTAAACATACACGAGCAACGAAAGTTCAAAATTCACCATGGAATCTGAGGTTCAGTACACAGGATAATTTCATATTTGTGACAACAATTAATTATTCAACCACAATGTTTTCACGGCGCCATTCACGTAGCGTTGAATGGCTACTCAACGAATTTCGGGAAATGTTTTGACAATATGTGAAAGTTCAGAAGAATGAAGGAAGAATGAACAATAAACAAGAGAAGACGTCCGAGGTGCATCAAAACAGACAGAATATGATTCGGATGGGAGTGGGTGTTTAAGAAGAGGGGAGTTGCAATTTATTTAAATAGGATCTAAACTAGACAACACAATGACCAGACATATTAGAAAAACTTCCAGAACATTTAAGGAAAGACTGTTATCGACGGTGTTAAAAGCAGTTGAATAAACAAAATAGAGTTAAACTGCAAAAATGTTGTGTGCTTCAACTAAGTGAAGATTAACCATTTCCTAGGACTTTAGATACAAAAGAAAGATTAGAAAAAGATCTGTAATTGGACAAAGAAGAGAACGATGGATTCAACATCAATAGAATTACTTAATTAATACCTTATTTCGATTTACCGTTGTAAATTGGATTTAATCTGCAAATTGGTAATTTCCAAATTGTTGATCGTAGATTTTAAAGAGCGATGACAAAATATATAAAATTTAACCTACTTTTTAAACTTTAAAGTTTTACCACTCGCACAAATCAATAACAAATATTCATCTTCACACTCGAAATTGTACCACATATATATCAAAGAAGGGCTTCACACGACTTCATTTAAAAAAACGAACCAAATAATTAAATTTGTTTTCTATTCAAATGTACCCCGTGTTATAACGTTTATTCTTTTTTTTATTGTATTATTACTTCTAATTTTGCATATGATAACATATGCCAGAATAAAACAGAGACATAAAACATTATGTTTGCGATGACGATAAACTGTAGTCGGATGGATAAGATGTAAAATGTTATGTCAAAAAAACGTTATAAAATAATATTAATAGTAATAAACAAAATTTAGTGCAAATTACTATTTAAAAAAAATGAAGTATCTTAAAAAGAAACTGTTAATATGTGTTGATTTTCAAACGAAAATAATCATGATAATGTTAGATTTTAAATACAAAAATACTAAACAAAAAAGTATTATATATAAGCTTACATTTTCAATATTTTCAGGCTAAAAGTTCATCCTATTTGAAACAGTCTATTTGATTAAAATCAGTTTTAAATACAGCTGTTGTATATACACGGGCGTTAAATACAGATGTACAAACACATGTGTGAAAAACTCAACAATTGTTTGAACAACAAACAAGTTGATTGCATCATCATGCGAGGTTAATTAGGAGAAGAAACACCAAAGGCTTTGAAGATTGACGAAATAAAACTCGACGATCTCTCCTGCTGACAAAAGATATCGGAGTGAGGCAATGTTGCGGATACAAATTCCCAGTCTTTGTCAACCACCTTTATAACAGAACCTCTGCCGGGGGCTGCTTTGAAGTCATCAACATAATCGTCATCGTCGTCATCATCACAATCATTGAAGCATGCAAATATGCTATCATGGCAAGGATTTTTATGAAGGTCATTATTGTTTTTCGAGCCTCCTGCATCCTCACCAACTCTCTCCATCGAGTCATCTCCATATGGATCATTGAACAGAGCGTCACTGACGGTTCAATTTAAATTTATACGCAATTTCAATGATAATGTTTTGCAAATCATGGTTTCATTGTATGTACGCAGTTCATGTATTATTTTTTTTTTTGAAAATTTAATTCATCCGCCTAGCTTTCTATTCCAACTGTCACATTCAATTTTTTTAAATCATGAAAATTAACATGTAAACATTGGTGAAATAAAATTCGAAGAGAGATTTATAAAAGATAAAATCATCATTAATGAGTAACGAATATTTCTAAATGAATTAACAAAAGGTGGAACTAACCAGCCAAGGTGTGGGGACCTGATGAGATGAAGGATGTTGATAACGGTGTGCATGCCCTGGAGTTTGGACCTGTCCACATGCTCGTACAAACAAAAGTGTAGAATGTTCTTGTTCAACCTGTTCGCATACCTTACTAATTGCTCCTCTTTCAAGTTTTCAGCAGAAAAGACTCTGTAGAATTAAACAATCTCATCTTCATGCATCACGATTAAATCAACAATCCAGAGATCTAAATATTTAAAATTTTTACAAAAGTCAAATTTCAACAGAGTAAAAGACAAACTAGATGCATTGGAAAATTTGAACTATATGAAGATATAATTAAGATTTACATATTAGTACAACAAATTCTTGGGTGCCAATTGCACTCGTTAATCAAGTTATACATTAAAAATTTTTTAAATGTCCCACTTGAAATGCATGGAATATGGAAGTTTATAGCCAAGGAAATATGCACAGAAGAAAACCAGTTGAGATAGGAAAGACAATCCAGCACAAACACTCCACTGAGCAGCTGTTTTTGGCTCTTCATGTATTTGCAATAGAGGATCATTAGCTCCACCTATATTAAAATAATATTAATCAAAAACAAAAAAATAAAATTTAGAAAACAGATATGAAAATCATCCATTATTCATTCAAAAATAGATAAACCAAAAACATTTAACAGATTACCTACCTGAATGCATGTAAGCCACATAGTCACCATTCCCTGGAAGTGACGCTTCAATAACTTTGTACATCTGGTCCCAGCCTGAATCAGCATAGACCCATCTTCCTCCCACATATGCTGTGAATTGAGCATCTTTCAACAGGCTTATCAATGTGTTGCTACCATTCAGAGAGTCAGTGGAATCACTTGTTTGTTGCAGATTTATTTATTTTATTCTAATTGCTTCAAAACGTTAAGAAATAATTTATTGCATTTATAAAAATGTTATCATTTTTGTAACTGCAATTTTAAATGTTATCATAATGCTTCCACTTGAATGTGTGGAAAAACTAATTGGATAAAAATGATTAAGCATTTATAAATTTGTTTTGTTAAAGATAATAAAATGTGTGATGAACAGAATTAATAGCAACAAGCTTCTCAAGAGTTTGAACAAATAAATATAATAATAAAATAAGATAAGCAACATCGACAAACATTTTCTTTTAAAAAACATGTGCTTTTTGTGTCACAATAAGACAGAAACATTTATGATAGCCAGTTAGAAAACAAAGCTTCAAATGAAGCTAATTGAGATGATGTCTTAAATAAAGATAATATTAAAACATTATAGCATCATTAATTCATGAAAACAGTTGTTTTTAATATTTATAACATTACCTAGTTGGCTTATACGTAGTGATGGGAAAGAGACATTCAACCAGTTGTTTGACGTACAATCTTCGTATTTCAATCAAACCCTTCCTTGCTCTTTTGAATTTGTCAGCATACATGTCATGCTTATCCACTAATTCCCTCTTCACCTTCTGAATATTTGCAAACTTGGCTCGTACCAACGTAATATCTTTTTGAGTTTTTTCTCTGTCGGATCTTAATTTACTAAAATTTGATCGATCTGCATGATATAAAAATATTTTAAGTAGGCTTTATTTTAAAATGTAAATAATATAAAAAACCTTTATTGTATTGAGTTTTCAAGCATGTGAGTGCAGTCTTCAAGAATGTTAATTTTTGTCTGGCCGATGTTATAGCCAATTTCTAAAACAAGTTAAAATAAATGAGGACAATGATAAATCATCAACACACAGATATAAAATTCATACTAACTTTCCTCTTTTCCTCAATTTGTTTTGCTAATAATGACTCAATCCTGTAGAAATTAAAATTAGAAATGATAAACTTTATGCAGTTCAATATAGTTTAAAAATAAATTAAAAGTGACTTTTTCTTCAGTTCATTGTTATCGGATTTCAATGTCTCCCACAACTTCTTTGCTTCACGATAACTATTGTGAATGAATTTATAATTAAAATAATATATATAGAGATTTTGACTTGATATATAAATAAAAAACAATAATATAGATGTCGTACTCTAAATTTTTAATAGCCTGCGACAAGTTGTTCTGATGGGAAGATCTGGTGAAGGTTCCATTGTTGACACACTTCTGACAGTAGAACGGCCGTTTCGTACAGTCGCACAACTGACAAATCTCGACAGCCACAGATATTTCACTTTTACGGCAATCCGCCGAACAAATTAACTCAATCGAAGAATAATCTTTATGAATAAATTTAAATTCCATGTTCTTAATTAAACGACAAAAACAAAAAAGGCTTTTTAACAATAGTAAAAATTTTGTTTTATGTACAAAAAACTAAAAGTTAGTTAAATAGCGATGGGCCATTTGTAATCATTGAAATTTTTTATTCGATGACAACCTGTATTTAGACGGCATTTGATAGTATCTGCGAATCTCTTTCAAGTATTTGATAGTGTGCAATACTCTGCGAAACCGAAATGCATAT